CCCCCCCCTGCCAAGAAATAGCGGAAGCGGTGGGGAAGGGGGAAAGCCGCCGGCGGGATCTCTCAGACGGGAGGGTGCGAGTGTGTGTGTGGGGGCGGCCTGATGAGGAGACTGGGTTTTTTTCTGTTTTTTTTTTCTTTAAATAAACCAAGGAAGGTGGCTTTTTAAGCCGTACCTTTGATTTGCGGGGGGGTGGGGAATTGGAACGTCACTTTAATAAATAAGCGCCGGCCGAGGATGGCGTTCCCACCGCTGGCAGGTGTGGGGCTCGGCGCCAGGCCGAGCAGGGGAAGAACCGGGCTTCCACCCCAAAACACCGGCCCAACTGCCCGAGGCAGATCCCGTCCACCTTCCCCAAATCCTGACAACACTCACCTGCCGGCTCCGGGCTTTCGACACCCAGGGCCCGGTTGATCTCGGCCTGGCGCTTACCGGGAGTTGGCCTCCATCTCCCATTTTTTTGGGGGGGGGAGGGGGGTCCCTGTGGAGGCCACGTCTTTGCTGCTTCCAGAGCCTGCCGTCGGGTCTCCTTCATCTTCTCGGCTTGCTTAAATGGGCTGTTGTATTAAAAATATACCTAAACCCCAGCTTTGTTTTGAAAAAGTCGCTCTGTGCAGCCTTTAGTACTGGTTGGTTTCTTTCAGCATTTTACCCTTTTTCTGCAAGACGATGATTTGTTCATAAGTGTCAATATTGGAACGTTGCAGAGAAGAAATCATCTTATGGAGCATGGAAAACTCAAAACTGTTTTAGCTTGAGGGGTCTGGAGGGATGATTTTGCAATGCTGAGTGCCTCATCTCGGTGAAAATGAGACTTTATTTGCTGGTCGCTGCTCCTAGTCACCTTCCTCCCCGGGGAATATACTCTGCTGGCATATATGCTTTCCTTTTAGGAGTAATGAGAACCTCTGGAGCACGTTTTCATACTGCAAGACCTCTTGTTTCTCAGGTCTCTGGAATTTGCTGCTTTTCCCAGTTCAGGTCACTCCTTAAATGAACAGTAATACCATTCTTCTATGCCAGTAAAGCAGGTTATAGGATATTCAGTATTGCATGGTATATGTACCATATAACATCAATGTTTTCTCCTAATAATAGAGTATGATCAATAGTATGTGTCCTGCTTGCTGATAAGGTTTTGTGATCGAGCTGATATTCAGCATGATTTGAATGAATCCAAAGTGTAAGTGTTGCGTAAGATACTGAAACAGTTTTCTAATCTCCTGGTCCATTTTATCTCCCTCACCTTTTCACTGTTTTCATGCTTAGATTAGAAGGTACATTTTTTAATGGTTGATGGTATTTTCAGAGTGCTTCAGGTTCTACCGTTTATGCATTAAGGCTTTAGAGAATGGTCTTTGGCCAGTGTTTTGCAGATAGTCAGACAATTATTCTATTCTGGTTTTAGATCTCAGGACAGAGAGTACAGTTTAGATTATACTGGACAACAAATGAAACAAATATTCCCTTTCATTTTCCCTCTTCTGTATCGATGAGCAAGGCAAAGATAAATCAGTGGTATTTTTCACCACTCATACATATAGAGTTAAATACTACACTTAACAGCCTTACTGCAATAATGCATGGTGCAAGAAGACTAAAATCAAGTTTTTGTAGCAGATCTGTAAATGTGGAATTAACCTTTTCCCAGCTTTCTTGTCCTGGAGACTCTCTACAGTTCCTCCTCATCAAATCTACCTGTTGCCACTGCAGCTGTTTTAGAAAGCTACTTTAACACACGCTAAAAGAAACACTTTTTCTATTTCTTCTGCTATTGCATCATTATATTACAAGACCCATCAGCATAGGAAGTTGTGAAAGCCAGAAGCATAAACATGTTCAAAAGAGATTGCACACATCTGTGGACAAGAAGTTCATTCATGATTGTTCAACCTAATGCAACTTCTGGCTCAGGAAGTCTGTACATCACTGATTACCAGAAGTTGAGAGAGTAGCTGGAAGACGGATCATGGTCTGCTGACAGAGTTTCTCTCAGCATCTAGCTCTGTCCCTCAGCAGAAAGGGATGCAGAATGAGAGGGACACTGAGTCTGATTTGTTACGGCCATTCTGTGCCTGCTTGACAAGACACACACGTTTACAAACAATACCGATAGGGAAGTTATTTTATATATTCAAGTAGGCATTAGGCTCGTTTCAAATCATTAGTAGTGGTGTGGGTATCACATGCATCACATAGCTGAGATAATGAAGGAATGCTTCAATAGGAAAATGACAGAAAGGGGTTGGGGAGCAATAGCACGATCTGGAAATGCTCTGGTTCATTATCATTAATCCATGTGCTTCTTCAACCAGTCGATGTATTTGGATACCCTTGTGTAAACCCCATAGCTGCCTTTAACAGCACAGCCCTTTCCCCAGCTGACAATCCCAGTCAGAAACCAAGTGTTCTTGTACTTTGTAGCATGAGGTCCACCACTGTCTCCCTTGCAGGAGTCTTTAACGCCGGTCGCGTCTCCTGCACAGAACATATTCTCTGTAATATTTAAATCGGTCTCCTTTTCACATTCTTGTGTCTTTACACGTGGCAAATCAACTCTCATCAGAATAGAAGAGGTGGCACCTCCATCTAGTAGGCGTCCCCATCCGCTCACTGTGGAGAACTTGATGGAGGACAGTTCATACACTGCAAACTGCTTTTCAGGCAAACATATCGGCACCACATAGTCGGTGAGATTCACGGGTGTTTCCAGGCCTAGGAGGGCAATATCGTTATTGACTTGTCCATTTGTGTATCCTTCATGAATGATGATCCTGGCAACTCCACTTTCTTGCTCAGTTTTATCATCAGAATTTGTTGCATGTTCACCTGGAAAAGTTATTAATCGCAGGTCATGTCAGGCAGCTCCTTGATTCCTCAGAAGTTTGAGGAGATAAGGGGTTTCTAGTCTGATACCTCCTAAAGACAATTCCCTTATACTACCAAAGCCTGCACATTTGGTCTTTTACTCTGGTTTGCCAGGATGAGAAGCTGCTGCCACAACCACAGCTCGATAACATGAGGAGGGGAAGATACATACCCAGTCTCACCCGAAGCTGTTTAGGATGAGTATACTCCAAACAGTGAGCTGCAGTGACCACCCACTCTGGGGAAAGCAGGGTACCGCCACACTTTTCTTTCTGATTCTGTATTATAAGGGCCTGCCAACATAAAGCAAATGTATGTCTTGCATCAAATGGGCTTGACCTGAATCTCAGTAGCGTTGGGTTTCCTATTGCTTCCTTCTGTCACTTTATGCAACCGTGTTTGAGAATACTGTGCTGATTGCATGGAGAATTTAGGAGGGGGAGTCTTCCCATTGACATTTTCTCCATCCTGTAGTATGGACTCTGCCTATTATGGCCAAAAGTGTATCCCTGCAAGCTGCAACTAAAATTCTTGCTGGCACTAAGCTTAAGGACTAAGGGGTCAGGAGATAGAGGAGGTTGTATTACCACTCCACTCCTACAAAAGCAGGCACTCCAGAAAAAGGCTAAGATACATAACTGAAACAGGTAGATCTGCTACCTATGGATGAAGAGGGAATTTGGTTATCCAGGCCTGGCACTTTTAATGGATTTTTAACATAATAGATTTAAAACAATGAGTTTAAGATAGTGGTTTCATAAGGGGGGGAAAAAAAAGCAATGAAAGATTTCTGAAGACTCACTTGCCATGGACATTCACCTGGAGGACAGATTGAACCACCTACTATTCTCCCTCGTGTAGTTGCATTTTTTTTTGCCAGTACTGGTATTTTTCCACATGGGTATTTCACTGAAAAAAAAACAAAACCAAAAACAACAAAGGGCAGCAAGTGTGATTTTATTGCACTGAATTCACAGCAAAATGTGTAAGGTCTTCAGTGAAGTTATGTTAGCTGAAAAACTGGTCTCTAGTCTGGGAGCATGGGTTCTCAAAAGTACTTTAAAGCAGCTCAGCAGATAAGTAGTCTTTTTGTTTGGAAACAGCCAGAAATGCTTTTACAGATAGAGTGCAGGTCCATACATTATCGTTGACATATATTCAGCTACCACAGGAGCTTGCAAACAATATACCTGCTTAAGAGATATATCAACACAATGAGGTAGGCTGCAGGCTGGAGAGCAGAAGTGACTCTGTCGAGCTTTATAGTCTACATATTTTCAGCAACCCTGCTGACTTTTAACTCCGCTGTACCAAGTGCACAGCATCCACGGCATGGTGAGATACCGGCTTAAGCGTGGGACGTGCAGCTTGCTGTCCCTTGTTCGGGTAGACTCAAAGGTCTCCTAAGAGCAGACACTGTGTCTTCTGGTATGCCTCCTGGCAGACTGTGCCTAGTTTGCTTGGGTCCAGAGCATCCTTGATTCTTCTGGACTGCATGTCTCCATCTAAGGTCTGTTTTTAGCCTGGGCAAGCATGTGAAGATTGGCAGTAAGAGAATCAAATCTTGAGGACTGAACCTGCGACTGAGCTGCAGTGCAGGGGGAGCCTTCATGTTTTCAGTACATCGTTCACCCAACAGAGTTTTCCTTTCAAGAAGAAGATGGTCTACCTTTGGGGGTTTTTGTGTGCCACGTGGCTGTGCTGTAACTGAACGCTCTGTCCCTTCCATCCAGCAGTCACTCTGCAATAGCGCAGTAAGGAGTGCTCGCTTTCTACCACTTTAGGAGCCAGGGCCCTATAGTCTATGCTGAGCTGAATCCGACATCTCCACGGATCTGTAATAGTCTGAACATGCCGATTGCCTCAGCTGATATGAAGACAGCGTCAAGCTTTTACAGGTACAGGCAAGGTATGGAGAAACAGAACTAGATCTTTGGTGGCAGCTGGTGAAAGAGCAGAATAGACGTGACACAAACCCTCTAATGCTGTATGCAGGGCAACGCTGGCCTGGGCATTTGAAAGGGCCATTGTGAGAGACGACAGAAGGACGGTGAAGGGACTGAGCAGTTACACAGTTGTGTCTCCTTGCGACACACGGTCAGTGCTATGGCTATTTTGGTCCCCAAGAAGCAAGCAGCAACGAATACATCTTCCTCGCCGGGGAAGACATGCTGAAAAGCCTGTGGGGAATATTGAATTCTTTGTTCTCAGCTTTTAACAAAAGCAGCTTCCCCATCATGTGATATTGCAGAATCTGTTAATAAGGGATAAGCACATTAGTAGACTTTTTTTCCTAATGAAATTGCTGTTGTTGAGAGCTAGGTTGTCATTATCAGTTCTCTGCATGAGTGCTCCATTGAGGTATGTGGGGGGGGGGGGCATCGCCACTCAGAATTACTTTGCATGCTCCCTGCAGCTCTGTCTGTTATGTTCATATCCCCAGGGGTCTCTTTTTCCCCTCTAATAAAGTAATTCAAGTAGGCATCTGCAATAGAGTCAGGTGCCAGCTCATTTATTGGAAAAATATTTAACTTGTGCTACCCTAGTCTTAGTTGAAATTTACCTTGTCAGATGAGTGAGAGAAATATCTAGCCATAGTGTCTAGAGGAGTACCAAAAGTGTATTAGTCCTGCCAAATAGGAAAAAAAAAAAGAAAAAAACCAGAAAGAAAAAAAGAACGAAAGGAAAAAGAATAACTGGTTTTCTTTGGTTTTTAATAGGCTTCTTCCTCTCTTGACTCCTGCGCTGAAATAAATATGGTAATAAAATCTATAGTCACAATTTCAGGTTGGAGATCCAACACTAAAACAATGCTGCCCCCAAAATATTTTCCCACCGCAGGTGTAAGCTAAACCAAAAAAGGACTTGTGAGGCCCAGAGCCCCTCCACTCACCAGAAGCCCCTCAGCCTGACCCCAAATCCCTGACTATCTGCCGCTCTGCTTTATTTAGACCACCCGGCCATGAGCTTGTCTCCACTGCTCAGTTCTTCTCTACTAGACCAGTGGTGGGAACACTCCCCAAGGAGGAGACAGGGGTCCAGCTCCCTCCTCCCTCCTAGTAGGTGGGATGTTCAATCCCGAATTTCCCATGTCCCGGAGGAGTGGACCTCTGGGGCCAGGAAAGAGAGATCCAAAAGGCTCCCTGCTCGGTGTGCACACTTTGCCAGCTGCTTTTCTGGGGTGTCTAACTTCCACCAGAAGCCCAAACGTACTGCTCTGGACTCTGCCATTGAAGAAGAGGTGGGGAGCTGGTGGCTGAGGGTTATACCTCGCACCTCCCGATGTGTACGTGTTGAAAACTTTTCTTCCAGAGCTGGCTTAGACTTAGCATCAGGCTAGTAGTATCTTACCTTGGGGAATGCAGGACATGCCATCACTCGCTAAAGCGTAATCGTCCGCACAGAAGCACACTCGTTTTTCAGACTGCTTGTCAGTACAGTACTGCTCACAGCCACCGTTGTCGTAAATGCACTTCAGTTTGTCAGCCATGGCTAAAGTCAGAGAAAGAGCATTTAGGTTTCCAAACGTGGATTTTGGTGCTTAACATGAGTCAATTGTGACTTGAAATGTTGACAGGGAAGCAAGGCAGCAAAGCAGATTTCTGTGATTTATGTACAGTGACTGCATCAAAAGCGCCTTCCATGTGGCAAAAGCTAAGTAGGTCTGGATCTCCAGGGATTAGGGAAGAAAAGGCTATGCTTAAGAAACATACACCTAAAATTAAATCAGTCTGCATTTACGCAGTAGCTGAACTGTCTAAAGGATGGAGGTGGTGTACTTGTGTGGTAACCACTGTAATATACGGCTGAAAAATTGTAACTCTTTTGTATTTTGCCATTTGGGAGAAGGACGCTCTGGGATGACCATTGAGGCTGCCTGGTTAGACCTGATGAATGCCTAGTCCTTCTTTGGGCTCAGTGTGTTCTGAGGGTGTAAGTGTTAACACTCAATGTGCAGCGCCCACTGAAATCAATGGAAAGACATATAAGGACTTTATTAACTGCTGGATCTCTCCCCTCTGGCTTTGTATGATGCATATGCAGCACAGTTATCATTCACATACTGCACTGAGCTTTGAGGTCAAAGTAACTTCAGTACTTGGGTAGGAAAAGAAATTCCTTCTTTTCTCTCAGATGGTGCACAAAAGGCACTTTTTTTTTTTTTTTTTAACAAAGTCATCATAGGGTCATAATTATCTCACTGCCTTGCAGTGCCTGACTGCCAGCTGGTTAGATCCATCGTGTGACACCACAGGCAGTGTGAACAGTAGCCGTCACGGCTAGAATTATGCAGAATGATAATGATTGCTACTGTTTATCTCAATGCCTTGCATTTGAATTAATAATGGCATTTTTATTTTGTTAAGCTATGCCAGAGCTGACCTTTTTCACAGCTTTTGCCCTCATATTCGATGGGACAGCGGCAAACGTAATCCTGAAACTGGTCGTCACAACTCCCGCCATTCTGACAGGGGTTGGAGTCACACTGGTTAGGGTCTGTAAAAACATTCAGTGTCAGTCCGGCTCACGCGAAGAGCTGCAGCAGCGGGAATGTTTTCACAGCTGTTAGAACATCCCGAACAATCGTACCAGAATAGATGTGCCAGAACTCTTTCTGGAAGAAAAAGATGCGAGATTTAATTAAAGAAAAATTAACTCAGGTTAAGTCCTACAGCACTTATAGCACAGGAGGGGGTACAGACAGCCACAGTGATGCCCCTTTTGCTTTTATAATTTATGACAGTTGATATCCATAAAATATTCTACATTATTTTCTACATTCTACATTATTTTCATATACCAATAGAGAAGGGCACTGTGTAGCACACGGAGATAGGTGATCCATCAATAACCTCTATATAGTTGAGGTGGGGTTGACTGAAACAAATGTTGCACAATACAATAATTTAAGGTATTGTCAGGCCAGGAATTACTGGGAGGTCGTGGAGACGGCTTAGAGAGCGTCCACTTTCCCACCATCCCCCAGATCAGGACTGCCTGGGGCAGCCCATGCAGTATGCCCTCCTGCACCTCACCGCTGCTGCGTGCCCCCCTATAAATATAAGAGAAAGATGCAAACAGCAGGACACAAAGTGCTTTATTTGCTCTCTTAAAGTGTCAAAGCACACCTTGAGTGGGGGGAGTCGGTCTGACAGTGAGTGCTCACCCAGCCCCGCGTTACTTACTGTCCTTTCATCATCATGGTAAATCTCTCTCGCTTCCTCAAAGGAACACTTTTCTTCCATGCATTCTCGCTCTAGTGACCCCAGTTTTATCTCTTCGAAGAAGCTGTTGGCTCGCCTTTGCCTTTCCAAAAAGCCGCTTGCCTCTTCCTGCTTTAGAAAGACTGAAAAACAGCAGCACGGTCTCTTTGTCATCAGCTGCGCTCTCCAGATGGAGAGGACAGGGGGACAATTTCCCCTCAAAGCTTTTCCCAAGTTTTTTCTGAGACACTTTAGAAAAGAAATGGGTGAATGTGAAAGAGACTCCTTTCTCTGGCATGCCTCCCAGGTAACGTGGCAGCACATGAATTTTACAGAGCCCAGACCTTAAGAGAAGATGGCACATTACACCAGCGTGTACATCAGTGACTCCCAAGGTATCATCGCGTGTCATATAGTAGGTCTCAACATGCACAGCACAGTTTCTTTCAATTTTAGCAGCTGAAAAGCCCACGTCGCTTCACCGAGCAGCGATGTACATGGCGAAACCTGATTTTTCTGTACTCGCTACAGTAAGTCAGTCACTTGGTGACACATGGACCACAGTTGCCCCTTCACCCACAGTTATGTGTTATCTCACACCCCTTCACTCTTTGGACCTACAGAAGGCACTTACCCCACCACTAGTAGACCACAATTTTACAACCGCTGCTTTAATATATTTATCTTTAGTTTTCTTCTGTAAAAAAGGCTACGTTAAAGTACATGGGAAGGCTGGACAAGGCTGTTTGCGTTTCCTGGCGGAGCCCGCGGATGGCTCCTTGCTGCTGCCAGCACCATAGACCACAGCCACGCGGGTCTTCTCCCTGTGTGTCTCTGTCGCGCTTCGGAAAGATGTCGGGTACACAGGTTTGACAGCAGACATCAGCAGAGCTCGCTTCCTAGAGCTACGTCAACTTGCAGCTGACAGAAGCGTGCACTGAAAGAGCCGATAGCATTGTCACCACACTGACCTGCTCCTCAGCTTCAGGATACCAGCATATCACACAGCTATGCTGTCCCAGTATAATTCAGGATAAGGAACAAGAAGGTCCAGTGCTGCGGTGTGCTCTTGCTCCACATACAACACAGAGCAAGTCTTGAAATAATTAATTTTGCATTTTTTTAATCTCCTCTATGTCAGTAGGGGATTCTGGAGCTTCATAACAGTAACTTACATGTCAGCACTTTTAACTCTTTCACCTGGGATTGTGGGTAGATTTGGGGATTGAGGCTGATGCATATCACCTGCCTTTCCCTCAGGACATTCTCCACTACATGACTCCTGAGAGAGCAGGAGTTATCTCCTACCTGCTGGAAGGGCCCTGAGGTGGTTGCCGAAGGACAGGACTCGTGTGTCCTCGCTGACACACACACAAACAGAAATACTGAGAGAGTTTATTCCAGTCTGGTGAGGTGTCTCTAAACGTTTGTGTCTAATCAGAACATTTGCTGAGTTACAGGCAAAATAGTGGGAATCTTCCCTGTATTTCAAAGTTACTTAAGGAATAAAATATTGTGTGGTGTGCATTGAATTTATTCCAGGGTGTTTCATAAACATTTGCTCATTGTAGGAATGTCAACTGGGTCTTTCTGCCGTGATTTCAAAGTCAGGCTGTATGCATTTAATATGGCTTTCTTTAAAGGCTTTTAATTAACCTTACACTGCAGAGACATGACACGTGTCAGTGCACAGGCACAGACTCCGACAGAGCGTGCCTGGGCGCGTGGCTGGGGACATCCTCCTGCTTTTATTTCAGTATTCTCCACTTATTTACATTGGAATGCTTTTGACTTTGCTATGTATTTTTCCAGCTTTGTTCACTGCAATGCAGGAGACCCAGTCAATGGCTAACTGGGAATCTGAAAGCACTGGGTCTGCTTTATTAATCTGGGAGCTGATTTTCAGACACGTACCAGAGCCACTGAAGAGCTACGACCTCACTGCCTTCTACTGCTGCCGTAACAGGGTGGATCCTCACCTCTTTAATTTCTCATCAGCTGAATGACAGACTATCGATTCTTTGCTTTGAAAAATGCTACAATTCAAAATAACAATAAATCCAAGTTCCTTTTTTCACATAGCTAATGGTTTGCCTGCTGTCTGTGCAGTGATATAGACTCATTTAGCACTCTACAGGTGCTTCTCCTTAGTTGGCAAAACAAGCGTGTGGATGCCATCACTGAAAGCAAACAAGAGCCTTAGAATAACTCACAGGGACAACCGGAGGCAGGACAAACATGCAACAGTGCTCAAAACTTGCAATGAAAATTACATCTGAGTAACAGGGGAGAGGTCCATTGTCAGTAAACATAATTACAGCCATATCCTACAACATACCTGCATCCAGAGAAAGAGGAACCAGTAGTAGAGAGCAGAGAAACAAAGCCATGCACTGCCTGGAAACCATGATGAACCCTGAGAGCCAGCGTCCTGGTAGTGTATTGACATTTCAGCAAGGACTGTTTGGCCAAAGAGCTCGACTTCAAATGCTCGGAGCCAGAGGAGGGGCCGGCGACTCATGGAAACAGAAAAAGATCCATGACAGCCCGGCGAGCCGAGCAGAAGGGCACATGCGAATCCTGCAGTGTGCCCTTTTCACACAAGCGGGGAGCTTGGTTTTGAAGCACGCTCTCCTGAGCTGCGCAAAGGCTATGCTGATGACACAGGCTGCTATCTCCGCCTTCATTTTCCATCTAACATGCTTTTTTTTGTGAGAAACATAAATGCCAGGACCCTGCGGCTGTATGACTGGCACTAACTTGGCCACATAGTCCTGTATGCAGAGAGCAGCGATGTGACATTTATCTTGAATTGGTGGTCAAGATAGGGCCTTTCAGTGCTTTGGAGTATGATCGAATCATGATATTTGTCTTTTCCCATTTCTCCACCAGCTGAAACTCTGCACTTCTGGCTGACTTGACTTGGAAACACTAATTAACCAGCAAGAGGCACCCTATGCTGTTCTCTCCATCTTTCCTGCAAGACCCATGTGGCCTGCACAAGTTGTACTGGCTGGAGGAGGCACTGAGCTGATCCACGCTGTATTTCGTTAGTGACGATAGGGGTTTGAGGGGCTAATCTGCAGACAATGTTTTATGTGGAACATAAGCAGTCCTCTGATTTAATGGAAATCAATTAATGGCATCAGACTAGAGAGTTGACAACATTCTTGGGGAAATATTTACTTAAGATAGCAGCGAGGTAAAGAGCATGTTTGCCTATGAGAAGTGAAGCGTTGGCTGAAGGCCAGGGTGTTTTCCAGGCTGTTCTCCCCTTCCTGCATGGAAAAGAAGGAGGGTCAGCTCTGCATCTGAACATTGCAGCAAAGAAAAGCAACAGCTACTCAGCGTATCTCCCTGCAGAAGCCGTGATTCCTTAGGAAAGCTGGGCTCGCGGCCGTTCTTCACATGTGGTCCTGTTGTTTGGCAGCGGTGAGCACAGCTGGACGTCCTGCTTTGAAATCGCTTTCCCAAGAAGGGGCATCCAGGCAGTTCTCTGGATCAAAGCCTGGCTAATTCCCAGCAGCCCAGTTCCTGGGACGGTCGGGGATGGGTGGCAGGTCCTGTCCTGGGGCAGAAGAAGGAGGCCACTTACTGGAATACAAAAGGAGCTACAGCAGCCCCACGCCATCCCCATCTCTGCTTTTTGGGAACCCTCTCCACACCTCATAGCATGCAATGATCCTCATTCCTTGTTTGCTTGCCTACATCAGTGAGTTGAAAACAGCAAGGGCACATTCGGCTTAGCAAGACCAAAGCCAAGCTTGTTGAAGCCACTTGAAAAATCTCTCTTTGTCTCATCTTCTTGGGGAAAGTCCTAGCCCTGTCTAGTTGAATGAGTCACGCAGATCAGAGCGTGAGGCTGTGCCTATTGCCCCCCCAGCCGCACTGACCAAGGCTGCGGGGGCATCTCCCTGCTGGGGGGGGGGGTGGCTGCCACTGCACAGCAGTATCTCTGCACCTCTGCAGCCCTTTGCTTTCTCCTCTTCTTCTTTCGCAGTGTGCAGATCCTGTACATCCTTTAGGACTGATGCAGTATTTTCCTTCTGTCTTTCTTCCTCTGTTGGCATCCCCTTAAACATGAAAGATTTTGCTTTTATTGCTTGGGAATACGGCCAAATAGTGTTGTTATTTTTAGAGCCCAGGGGGAAGCTCAAGTGCTGGGAACAACAGTCGGTTCATATTGGGACAGTCCTTCTTCCAAGAAAAATTCATGCGATTAGGTTTCATCAGGGATGACTGTGCCCACGAGGAGGGTCACTGGGGATTCAGCAGTCCCAGGACTTCATCACAGCTCTGCCTTCATGAACTTCATATTGACAGACCTCATCTCACAGCCGTTTCCTACTAACTTCAGCCTGGCCAGTTCTTCGGTTGAAGAGCTCTGTTTTTAAGGAAGAGCTCCCCTTCCTTACTCTCTTAGACCCCAGCCAGAGGAGCAAACATCAGTTCCTTTGCTTTTCTTCCCCAGAAGATCCCTAAGTCTCACTTCATTTTTCTTCTTGTGTGGTCTTGCTGTGGTTCATGAGAATTGCCCTGGCATTCTGCTCTATAAATCTCCTTGCTTGTGAAGGCTTCAGCCTTGGCTTATGTTTTCTGAGCAGTTCCAAGAAAAATAATCCGCTGTTCAATTAAAAGTGAATATATATTAATGCAAACGTGCACCCCTGCTGCTCATGGGTGCTACTAGAATAAGTCTGGGGACAGCTGTTCGGAAGATTTAGGGTATTTTTTAGTGTATGCTTTGGATGTGCCAAAGTTGCTTTATCCCCCCCCCCCCAAAAGTTAAAAAAATTAAACATGAAAAATGTTAACAATGTAAAATAAATAAATCTAAAGCAGAAACATTAACCTGGAAGACATGATGAACTGATGTCTCAGAACATACCATTCTTTATTTTTGTTTTGTTTCCTACTGACATTTTTCAAAGAAAAACTCTAACAATGTTGTTATTTTTAGTTTCCTATTTGGGGTTGAAGAGAAGACAGGTATGGAAGCTAGTGGAAACTCTGCAACTTGATCTGATCCAACAGGTCACTGGTCATTTAAACGTGAGTTTTCTAGTCAGCACTCATGAACAATTTAAAAAAATAAATCAATGATTTCTATTTCAAAGAGGCCATTTGAGTAAGCTGACAAGGCTGTGTCTAGGTAAGAAAGGTTTAGAAACAAGCTGCCTCATGAATTTTGGAAAATTCAATTTAAATCTCCACTAACAATAGTAACTTGCCATCCTTCATTTATCAGACTAATTAAAAGCAAGCCAAGCCTGTGATAAAGTTAATAATTTCCTGTCTGTTGTACTAATCTAAATAAATATATGAATATCACACTGCTAAGCTTTAAAGCAAATGATTTTGATTTTAGACCTCAAAAGAGAACTATTTCTTTCTAGGAGAAAATTACTTGCCTGCTTGACTGAGTTCTGTATCCCCATACAGCAATTATTCTCATAAAGAGGAAGCAGAAGATGGGGAGATAATATTTTGGATAATTTTTTTTTGTGACGAGCTCTGAATACAAGTGCTTAACGTTTTATTCTGTTTCTAATCTTGATGTGGGTTATTTCTTTCTCTTCTTTTGCTGCCTGAGGAGAAGGATATCTGAAGATACCTAGATAATAAAGGAAAGAAAAGACATAGAAAAGGCAGTACAAAATAAATTTACAATAAAGGCCGTGTGCCCCAAAGTTTGTCTGTTTGTCTAATGCCACCTATCTCCGTTGGTGATAAGAGATATTAACTCTACTAGAGACCTTCTCTTGACTGTGTCCCGAGACCATCACAGCTGCAACAGCACCACTGGTAAATCTGTAGTCTTGTAAATGCAGCTGGGGACCTTGCCGTCTTGTCAATTGATGTGGAATGAATAGATACAAAAATTTGAAAGGTGACTGATGGATTCACTTCAATTGATCTGTCAAAGGTAACATTTCAGCACCAAACCAGCTAATCTGAGTAAAAACATTTCAGAATAAAAATGCAAAACTTGATCCTTGATTTTCTACCACAATCTTTAGGCTGCCACTGGTACGGACAGGGGAGAGGTGCAAAGATGCCTGCCAAGCATATATTAGTGCATCATCTCGTCTTCCTGCTATAGGGACTTTATGTTGTAGGTGATTTTGGCCTGTCTCGGTAGGGTCAGAGCCCCGGAGGAGCTGGCAGAGCTCCTTGTGGTTTGCCTTTGCCCAGCTGGAACTCGACGTCTCCTTGCAAAGGGCTGAGGGACTCATCTTCTTGCTATGCTGCTAGGCTAGATGGGGAAACATTACCACTTTGTCTTGCAGCCTGCTTTTTGCATGCACCAAGCTGCTGTTTTTCTCCTGAGGCTTTGTCCGGACATAACGTTGCCCCCAAATTTCTCAAGAAAAGGTTTGAGCTTTGGATGAGGATGCTTCACTGTGAATGCCCTTTGGACCGAGCAAAACAGTTGGAGCCCACTGACGATGGGGGTGTGTGTGTTTATTTACGTATGACGAGATATTTTGAGCTAAACATGTACAACAGCGCATGAGCAACCAAGGGAGGGAGGGAACAGATGCCAAAACAGCTGTACTGGCCTTACCCGCACTCCAGCAGAGCCCTCCAGCACCTCGCCACCCTGGGCACCCCTCGCCTTTGCCCTGCTGCCTTTGGGGGCTGTCCCTGCCAGGGACATTGCAGAGGCTGGGGCCACGGGAGCGAGCATGGGTATTACTGGTAAGGGAGGAGAATGCTGTGCCCGTTCTAGGAGCTGATCCAGCCAAAAACTGCCAGGGGAAAGGTGGGGGGATAACGGAGTCACTCCCTGGAGCTGGTGGGACCAAGGGTGCAGCGCTTAGGAGGCAGAAGGGGAGCAGGAAGGGAAGTTTGCTGCTGGACTGGCAGCAGTTCCACGCGGCTTCTAATTTGGCATACGACACGCAGTGTTTCTTTTGAGTTAAAAAGTCTTTGTGCCCTTTGTGCTCCTTGCCCCACTGCACCCACCAGCCCCACGCGCTCCCCTCAAAAAGATAACCCACCCGCTCTGCGCTCTCCCCCCTCTGCTTTTTGATCTCTGGCTGACATATTACAGCCCCTTGCCCCACAGCACCCTGCCAGCAAGCCAGTCCCTCACCATCCATACCTCCAGGCTGGCACGACAAGCGGCTGCTCGGGTGCCTGGCTGGGGTGTGAAGGAGCCTGCAGTGGGACCAGCCTGTGGTGGGCTGGGTGTTGAATATCACTTACGCACTTAAAAACTGCCTTTCAGCGATGCAGAGCAACGGCAGCTCAAGTTAAATGACAAAGAAAGAGGCATTAATTGACTGCTGGTTTGGAAAATAAGGACTACTGGTCATCCTCCCCAGTGCTGTTAGATACTTTCTCTTAAAAATGCATTTATGCAGCCGAATTGTCTGCAGAGAGGTGGCAGCTGAGTTTCTGCTTGCCGAGGGGATCATCCACCAAGAAAGCAGAAAGAAAGAGAAAGAAACAAAGATGCCCGAGCAAGAGCCAGGTAAGGGGCTCAGGCAGCTTTGGGTGACAGCCGGCGAGAGCGGCCAACTGGGGCAGGAGGGCAGCGAGGCAGCCCTAGTGCTCAACACGGTGCAGGGGGATGTAGGGCAGCAGGTACCTGAAGGATTGCAGAGGGTCTGGAGTAAAAGGCTGGATTTCCTGAGGATACAACATCTGCAGGATATCAAAGCTAAAGCCAGCTGCAGAGACCTGTAGGAGCAGCTTGTGATAGTGGACGGCCAGATAATCGAGTGATGGATGAAGCTGAAAAGGCTGCCTGGGAAAGGAGCTGAGAAGACTGCACACACAGTGCTGGACTAAGCTGGAGCCACAGTAGATGGTTCCCTGAAAATATCAGCTTGAGGTGCAGTGGCTAGGAAATATGTGGAAAGGAATTAAACAAACAAAAAAACAGGAAAAATCTGATAGAAGCTTGCTGGTGAGGGAGCTGGCATCCCACTGCCCGAGCTGGGTCTCAGGATCACCTCCTGCTGCCTTTCACACAACAGCTCACCAATCAAGGCAAACAGGTACTTTGGTCCCCATATTGCTATTTGAACATGATATTGCACAGTCTCCTGCTTAGAAAAGTGACAAGCTCAAAGTTTCACAAACCTTAAATTTCTTTCCTGAATGTATTAAGGGAAGAAGGGGAAATTTCATAAGTATATTGGACAGCATTTAAAGTTGCCTGGAACAAAGTAAGTTGAGTGCATCTAATACCTTTGCCAAAGGCCTTGCGTTGTCCTGCTGCCACAGCTGGCTTTGCCCTGTCAGAGTGTTTGTAAGGGCAGAAGTTACTTATCAAGTACTTTGCTATTACAGGTCAGGAAACTATCTCGTCCTCTGAGGGTCTTTACATAGCCATTCATTCCTGTCCACCTGCTTACGAGTCTCTGAAATCATCTCATCTTCACCTTCCTTAACAGCTGTTAAAATAAAAAATAGTTATTGCTAGTGTGGCCATCATAGTTTACGTGTTACCTATTCATCTCCTTTCAAATGAAAGCCCAGACAAGCTACTTCAACATCTAAACATCTTATTTTGATAATACGGTATCTAGACAGTTTACACCAAATCTTAAGGGACAACTGAATGTGGCTCTTCTGTTCCTACATTCTAAGTTAAGCGAATTTAATTTGGGTATCTCCCTCGTACCAGGCAGATCTGACACTCACCCCTGCCCCCCAAAATCTAGGGAGACTGGTAATTTTGGGGACTTGTGTGGACACTCTGAACTTTACAGTGCAGTTCATAATAACCATCTGACATACGATACAGAAGGGGAATGAGAGTCCCTGTCATTTTGAGATAAGTGATGTAAACGAGTTACGGTCCAAAGTCATCAGTTTTGCTCAGTGACAATATCCATGCAGAATGGAGAAGGGGTTTTGTGTCCCAACTAGCAAACTGCTTCTGTATCTAGGAAAGACTGTGCTCCAACTTTGAGCCAGTTATCTACAATATAAGAAACCCAGGATGAGTCCAGAATGTTTGCAACAGGAAATAAACATCCTTACAATTAAAAATAAATCAATCATTATTAGGTTTTTATACTGAAAATGCTTTACTTTCCACTAATGTAAATCTGGGCTGGAAGTCTTTCATTCTTTTGCTCTAACAAGTATGATGTGGCTCTGCTCAGAAAGGCTGGACATCCTTTTGCTCAGAAAAGTTGGACTACCTACTACAGAGGTAACTGTTACGTTAACAAGACCGAGAGTAAATAAAAGCAATCAAATCCCAGTAACACCTTAGCTGGATTGTGTAATTGCACACGGCCACCCTCTCAGCCCAAATCACTCTGGTCAGTGTGAAATTCACCCCCTACCATGGCATGATGGTCCTTAAAGCCATTCACCTGTGAATGTGCAAACACATTCTTCAGATGCTGCAAGAGTGAATGTGGCTTCTTGTTTCTCACCCAGCTGCGGCTGTTGCCGGACACAGACCTCCAACTTGTTCTGCTACAGGATCAAGAGAAGCATGCAAACAGGAGGAGGGGAACCACAGGATACGCAGCTTCCTGAGGGAAAACCCAACAGCGATGTGCCATCTTTCAAAAAAAAGCGTATGTGGGAGAAAGGGAATCAATCTGATTACCTGGCACTGGCTTTCATTTTTTATCTTCAGCCTGCAGACAGGCTTTATTTTCCCAGTGCCAGGTAAGTGAGACAGGATCACAAGGACAAAATGGTGTTTTTCTGAGATGGTCCAGAATGTGTAGGGCAAAGGATTTGAACACATGGACCCTGACAAGCAACAGCTAGACAGACCTGGTTTGCTGTTCCAAATCCTTCAGCCTGTGTCTGTTTTTATATGATACCCATAAGAAGCTTTTAAGACTGTGAGACAAAAATAAAACACAGAGCATGTCTATATAAAGGCATTCAGCAAGAAGCGCTGAAATTTATTCAAATTAATTACAATAGAGACCTCTGACTTTGAACTTCTAATTCACAACAGCAGTAAAAAAAGGAAACGGTGAAATGGGTTGTATTAAAGTGCAATGATGTGGAGAAAACCATTGAAATAACACAAATGAGGCTGCAGTGACAAATGAAAGGACAGTCTCATCCTAGCAATGACAGCAATATATAAGTATGTTACAGATAATTTACAAAATAACTTACATAGATGAAGATAAGCTGAATCCCATGTTGCCATTCCATTGTTAAATCAGACTAAATATTCCTGGTCAGCACAGTATTATATGGAATAATTAAAAAAAGATCAGAGGATTTCTGCATTGGAAAAGATGCCTGAAGTAGAACCCTGATCAGCCTTTATATTGCAGTATTGCAAGAAACCTAAGTATTTATGAATTGTAAAGTGACACATTCAGCAGCATGAAGACTATAAATACATCTTTTACATTGATACATTATATCTACACAGATATACATATCTACACACACACATATACACACAAGCACATACATGCACATATATATATATGTGCATGAATACATGTGTGTGTATATATGTTTGAATTTGTACTGACCGTGGTCAGCTGCATTTTGATTGCATCTGGAGTAGGGTTGCTTTTGCAACCTAGGAGTAAGATCATTCTTTAGAGTATTTGTCATTTAAGTTTCCTAAGCTGCAGCCTCTAAAATATACAATTCTGGCATAAAGATAGACTTCAGCGCTCAGCCATCAGAGGGTCTGATGACTGCTTAACAGCAGATCCTGTTGACCTAATCTGCTGTGCTTAGTGCTTCTGAAAAACTATGCTTTTAATATCCACATTATTTTTAAGTAATATGGTACATGAATCAGTTAAAAACCTATTTTCATATAAGTAAAAATACTTGAGAGATGGACAGGAATGAATAGAATATTCCATACATGCACACACGTTTTGGACTGTTTGTAAGGATGACATGCAAAGAACAGCTGACAATGTGAAAATTTACAACATTGGCTTACATCAGACCTTGAAAAATGGTGAGTGTAGCATCACCCTTCCTTTAAAAAAATTTAAAATATTTGTCTGTAGCATAAATCTGACTCTTCTCTACTAAAGATTTTTTTCTCCCATGCTCCCCTTTTATAGAAAAATTATGTCATTGTTTTTTTCTCTTTGAATAAATCTGCAACAAACACTATTGACTAAAAATACGTCTGATTTCTAGCCCTCATAGGTTTTTCTGAAGGAGGGCTCTTGACCCATAGTGGAGCCACAATAGTATCCTCTGCCTGTAACTGCATGTTAATTGTGAGAGCTGAAGGTGGCCATGCAATTACCGTTTATTAAGAAATCCTTTAGTGACTAAGAACATTTGTGTTTCGTTGTGCATCTACGTAAGGAAAAAGATACTACTAAATTGCCAAGGCTATGTAAACATAGTGATCTTGGTAACAAATTTGGTTGTGAGGCCAAAATACCTCAGAAAACAGCTATTCCATTGCACACATCATTAAAAGGTTAGAAAGGATAAAATAATAGTTTCTTCTGATGCTGTTGTGGTCAGTGAATCGGTCATGTCTGCATCCCAGTCTCTAGGGAGCAGAGGAATATCCTGAAGACCCAAGAGAAGAGAAAAGGCTGGACCAAACCTCCTTCCCAGTTGCTGTAAGAGTCCCATTCACTGCACTGACCGAGGTATGTCCTTGGAGAAAGGGGTGGTTTTGGGAGGAGAAATTGTAAACTCAGATTTGTTTTCTTCATACCTATCCTGTACAGTGATTACTATGTTATTAGTTTACAACAAGGATTTAGCACCGAACACATTTTGTTTTCTCACATTCAGGTTCTGGCTGTCAGGAAATGATACAGTTCTACAGAAACCTGACTGTGTATCAGTGAGAAAATGTGTTTTATGCTAATAGCTCTGCCTGCAGCTTCAGACTTCAGGTCAGAAGCCTCTACAAGACTCTATTTCAAATCATTCAACTTTTATTTACAACTTCACATTCCATGCACTTTTCATTGGGATCTTCTGAGAGAACCTGTAAAAATCACCATGGAAAATACTCAGAGCTGGCAACACAGAACTGGTGGTGGTTCTCCGTTGGAGTCCAATGTCTAAGAACTCTGCACAAAATGACAAACTCCGAATTTTCCTTCCATGGAGGTGGGGTGAAAATTTAATGTTAGCCCTTTATGTCGGAGAAGCTGGTGCTGCTGGCATTGCAGCTATCACTGCAACTTGATGATGTGCTCAAAGCACTGGAGGCAGTGCCCGATTCTGGGAAAGGAAAAGGAAAGAAGAAAACAAAAAAACCACAAGAAAATATGATATGGTGGTTGTTTTTCACAACTTACTTTGATAATAGGAATCTTCAGAGAGACAATCATCTCATCTAAAATAAATAGCCTACCAGAGCTGCTTAAAGATTGAGCTGATTTTGAATTGCCGATGAGCATCAGCAGATTGTTTGCTGGGATCCAACCTTCTTTACCAGTGCTCAGGTTCTTTACATACCTAAAAAAAATATAAAAAATAAAAAGTCAGATTGCTTCACTTGATGCCTTTGAAAGTTTTGCCCTAAACATCTGCCTTCCAAACACAGTTCTGCATAGAAAAATTTCCAAACACAGATCTGCGTACCAAAGTCCATCCTCCCCTTCACGAATCAGTTGAACTAGTTCTCCACTTTTCACTGTAAATTCTTCAGAAACTCCTTTCTCATAATCAGTCACAACTGTGTATTTACCAGGAGTCTAAATGCGTACAGAGGAAAAACATAACAAATTATTTCTGTTGAGTACTTTAAGGTACAAGCTTTTCTTATGAAATGATAGCACTTTTCCCTTCTTTCTCATGTGCGTACATGCTGAAGACAGTGTAAATATACATACTGAGAGGCAGTAAAACTTTGCTGTTTGATTACATGCAATTTCAGTACATGAATTCTCACACCCTGAAAAACATTCAGTGAAATGTTTCCATTACAACAGTTAGTCCAAATCTCTACAACCCCCCCCCCCCTTAAACCCAGCTGGAAAACTAGCGACATGATGTACGTGTGGCAATCTGTTGACATGGTAGCTGAGCATGTCATCACTTGACTGCTGTACTATATGACAGTCTGCAGGTACAAAAAGGCACCGATGGACCTTCTTAAGGTACAAACACAAGGCTGATTTAAGAGAAGGGGATATTTTCCATTGCCCTAGGAATTTTGCCCAGCTGAGGATTTGAAGGCAGACACTTTCCTTTCTGCAAGCTTCAAAAGCATTCCTGTATACTGCCACACACAATGGATCAGTATCATTTGCTTAGCTCAACAGGAAAGCATTTCTGGTTACCAGCTTCATCTCGCCTCCCCCTCCTCCTCCTTCTTCCTCCGCATCTGATGAATTCAGAGGATCTTCAGCACTAGACCAGCCGTCATTTTCTTCAGATGCATCAAGAGAATGAGATGTTTTACCCCAACCTTGGGGAACAAACAGCCAACAGTTAACTTTGCAGCAGTGAGCCACTGGCTGGAAGAAATGTTCTTCCCACTGAAAAGCTCTTAAGTGATCAACATAAACAGGAGGAAAACTGTACACGGGGAAGTTATTACAGCCACTGGGTGAAATTCAGAGCTGGCAAAAGTTGGCCCGTTTCCATCAGAGTAAGTGGAGTTGTGGCAATGCACAGCAGTGAATTTGGCCCTTCGGACTTATAGAGAGGGAAACAGATGGAAAGAATGCAAATTCCCAACCAAAAAGCAGCTATTTCTCTCTTATACAAAGACAAACGGTGGCTAGATACTCTTTTTCTTGGGAGGGGGTAGAAGACAGGAATGTACACTTCATGGGAAGAGGATGAACACACACGGTTGTCACCCAAAGCAACCTAACCAACCTGCTGGAACAAGGGATGGATGTGCATTGCCTCCTTCAAACTGTTGAGCATTTAGAGCTGTCAAGAAATTCAACACAACCTACAGGCACTCTATACTTCACCTGATTAGGCAGCTTATTATTTAAGGGTATTCAGGTTGACACAAGGATACTTAATCACACTGACTTATCTTGGTGTTAAGCCACCGCACCAAACACCACAAGACCAATCTCCTGCCCATCATTTATTGTGAAGCGTTCCTTCTTCTCTCTCAGGATGAAGCATTTCATTTATTTACGAAGCTGAATCACATCCAGAGTGCACAAAATCTTTTCCAAATAAAACTACAGTAAGTTTTCCCAGTGGGATGCTTTTCACTGAGGTCAGCAGCTGCTAATAAATGTGTCGAGCTTATAATGAAAAAAAAGTCATAATAAAAGAGACAAATATTTGTAAGTAAGATTTTGGTTCAAGCCAAATGATAACAACAATAAAACTCAATGAAAAGAATGAAAGGAAGGACAAACCTCCCAACTCTTATGTAACTATTAGTTAAGTTGAGAAAGCACCAGCATTTTTGCTCTTCACTGCTTCTGAGGCATTTGTCGCATGGCTGGTTATGCCAGTGCATTAGGAACAAAACTGAGCATCGTCAGAGTAAAGCCAAAGTAATCTAAGAATCATAGAAACAAATCACACCCAGAGCACACCAAATGGAATGGCACTTTTACCTCACCTGCACTGCTGGATGACCTGCACAAGGTTAGAAGTACTGACCCATTTGGCCCTGTCCAGGGTTAAGAATGAACTTCCATCTGTGAAGAAACTGAGTAATAAATTCCTGCTGTATTCCATGCAAATTCCTTGGAAACTCACATCTTATAGTTGGCTTGTGGGACACAGCTGAAACCCTTTCCATTATTTCCAAGTTAAGAACAATGCAACAAAAGAAAACTTGGTTTGTTTGTCCTAATTATTCCAAGCTCTCATTAGAAACAGGATCAATGAGTTGCACAAGAGAAAAAGAAAGTGAAATCATGGTAATTGCTCTGCCTGTAGCATCATACTCACTGGCCTGCTCATCTGGAACATTTTGGGTAACAGCTCTTTTTCCTCAGGCTCACTCTTTCCGTATATTGTGCTGATGTGGGTAAGAGCAGACCTGCCTGATCCTGCCATAGCAACAGCACTCCTACTCCTCATACAAGCTGGCACTCTACTATTAACAAGTCTGTATAAAAGCCCATCTCATCCTGGGCAGGGAAGGGAAGCGGTCACTATGGTCATATTCACATTAGTTAACTACAGGCACCAAAATTACGCATGCACATTCCATGTGCATGTGTGTATTCTGCATGGTATAACTACAACAGAGCTCCCTATAAAGGCAGGAAAGGTAAGAAAATGGCAGACAGTCTTGAGAAAAGACAAGGTTATGCAGAAATGAGTTTAGATTTGATGGTGCCAGGAAAACCAAGAATTCATTAACTGCTTCTCTTCAGAAATGGGCCCACAGGTTTCTTCACAGAGATACGATCTATCCGCAAGAGGTGATCCTGTCACTAATTCATTTTCCTTGAGCTCACTGTGTTGTAAGTCTGAGTGATACAGCAGCAAAAGGAAATGAGTGGGGGCAAAGCGCTCTGCACTGGGGAGCTGTGACCACCACCTGCTGCAGTTTCACCCTGAAATGCCCAGGTCAGCTGCCTGCTTATCCCTTTTTGAGTTGGGGAAGGAGAAGAGATAAAGTGTCAGAAAAGAGATCAGAAGGTGCAAGACAGAAAGGGGAGTTACTAGATGCTTGAAATTACTTGACTTGGTTTAGTGGTTTCATAAAGTGAGAGGCTGCTGGACAGGACAGCAAATCAGACAAATCTGTTCCAAGGATCCAAGAGTTTACTGTAAATTAAGAATGATCAAGGACTCTCCACCCTGGAAAATTCCAGCATCCATGGAGAAGGCCACAAAACACCCCTTGCTTTCTGATAGCCTTTCCAGGCCCTCAGGATTTCCATGGTACCTGGAGATCTCAGAGGTTTGACTGCTACCTGCAGAAGATTAACCTTGTAACTCCCATATCCACACCTGTGGAGTTTCTGCATGTGTCCGGCCTGGGATTACATTGCCTGCTGCTCAGACAAGGTGAGTGGTGTCGTATAGTCTCCCCAGCACAGCAGCTGAACCTGCATCGTTTCCACAGGTGAGACAAAGACAAAGGCTGTGGAAACCTGGAGAGGAGGAGGATGGTAGGGCTTGAAACAGCTTCATCTTTAGCATAGCATTTTCTAAAAGAGATGGTGGTGGAAAGAGAGTCAGGAAGAGAGGGACTGCTCTCCTTATACTCTCTAGTTGATCAGCCCTAGGGATTTGTACTCAAGCCTCCATCAACAGCCTGGCTAGTTAGAAATGTGTCATTTAACTGAAATGCTTTTCTATTCTTTCCTTGGCTGTGGGTTGGGAGGACAGGGTGGAAAAATTGTGTACTGTTACCCAAAGAAAGATGCAACAGCACTGCGACTACAGTAACAAATGCAGATCTAAAATGGAAATTCCACATGACAGTGATGATCCCTACTCTCACTACAGTACATGAGTTTCGGATTTTTTGGTTTTTTTTTTTTTTTTTCCATTTTTTAAAAGTTAAATCCTCTCCACAAGGGGCACAGTGACAGTAGGATGCTAACTGGAAAACCATGTGTCACAGAGCAACTGGACACCCCTGTAATTCCATTAAACACCCAGCTTCTGGTTATTTCTTCAGCAGAAGATCCCTTCCCCACTGCCCTCTCCTAAAAACTAGTTAGCCATATGCTACTTTATTTGATGCCAAGGTAAAACTTCAAACAGTTGTGCTATCAAAAACAGTATACACAGAAGCTGACAGACCCACTTGGAAAAACTCAACTGCTATCAACACTGCTGCATGCAACAGCACCATATAGGTATTCCCAGCGCTCTGATGTACCATATTACATGAGGGATGTGTGGGTATCTGTGGAGTACAAGATGTGGTATCACTATACCTCTTAAACCAAAAGGAGTTGGGTCACTCACTACTTCATGCCGTTTAGCTTTTTTGTCAGGACTGGTAGGAGAAGCTGCAGGAGGATGAATAGGCAAAAAACACAGAAGAGAGATATTGAAGAACTGGAAAAAAGAGAATAGGTGGATTGCATGCTACATACCTTTGAGTTTACACTGGAAAACAAGTGGATTTCTGTAATCACTCTAATTTTAGCTGTCATCGGTCAATTACAGCAGAAGGAATTAATTATTTACATGTAGTTATTTGAAGATAAATTGACAAATTTATTTTACGGTAATAGATGAAAGTATATGTACACTTTTCCAAATGAACTAGACATCAACTAATTACAATTAATTTCAATTTTAGACAAACACTACCAAATTAAGCAATCATTTTTATATAAATCTAGTGCTACAGCAATACCTGGTCCTGTAAGAAGGATCATTGGCAATGTCTGGCTTTTAGCAGAAGGAGTTGGAGTTTCTGTCAAGGCAAGCATGGGATATTAGTGCTCACCTCATTAGCATTAGATACACAACCCTAGAGCCTCTCCAGAAAGAACTCAAAGGTAATCATGTTTTAAAAAGGCATTCTGAAAAGATGCTTGGAAAAAAAAGAATCATGCTCTTGAACAAGTGCCATCATCTTAATGCAATTCAGACTGTTCAAAGATAGCTGTTCAAAACAAGAAGTGAATGTACCAGTGCAATTACTTGGCAGGAGGAAGCAAGAAAGGTCTCAGACTCCTGTTGCCTGTTTTAGGAAAAAAAGTAGAGACCACTTCTGGAAGCACAGGGAAATTCTTATTTGTTTTTGTATCCAGCAAAACAACATTGTCATACACATTCTGCTGTATTCATGCTTTGGGAGTTCTGTTAGCAAGGATGCTAATATAGAAATATTCTAGAAAACCTTGATTCCTTTTTGCCAAGTACAAGTGCATTTGGGGCAGATCCACTGAAGCTAGAAGCAGGCCAGGTGTCTGATCTGAAGACAACTTTCTTCCTCTAGTTTTCCTACAGGAATAGGACACTATAAACTCCTTCCTTGGCCTTGACAGTGAGACTGGAGGCATTGGAAACCGCACTCCTTCCCTTGCATCTCCAACAGCTCCACTTTTCCCAGCTGCATCTCCCCCTCCCACTCTGGAGCCGGTTTCTCTTGAAATCTCCCTGTCAGGGTCAGTGACTCACGAGCCTATCTTGAACTTAGGAGAACAAGCTAGTGCATACACTGAAAACCTGCTACACTACACACACACACACACAAAGTGATGCTTTAATTACAGCCTTAAACAGAAAACAATCTAGCTTTTTTTTTTTTTTAAATTACCTTTCTGACTTTTGAGGTTAGTAAAGCCCTGCAGTGTAAAGCGCTTTTTTGACAGTACAGAGCATTCTGAGGTAGAGCTAGTGTCATCTACAAAGGAAGAAAGAGACACAGAAAGAAAGGGAAGAAGGCCATGAAAAGATCAAGGCAAAAAAATCGTTTGCAGCCCTGCCAGGGAACCTGCATGTTAGGATGAGAAAGGACAACTGAAAGTCCAGGTACAACAGAAGAACCCAAGTGGCCAGTTGTTCTCACTGTACAGGGGCTTGGACTGCCACCGGTTCAGTAAATAATCTCCATGATGGGAACCAAAATTCATGAGAAAAAAAAAGAAGAACAAATCCAAAAAGAACAAACCCAAAACTCTTCAGAAAGGTAATGCTGGAAATTTATCCAGAGGAAGATAACCCTGAGAAGCTGGGCAGCTCTAAGAGAAGACCTACTGCATACTCAGGCCTCATAATACATAGGTCCCACCTCCTTTTGGCTACCCCTCATTCAAGGTGACTTTGTGCCTGTCCACACCACACCGTGGAATGCAGAAACCCCAAGCTAAGGGCAGATAGGACCAGCACGCTGGTGTAGCGTGGGCAGCTCTTTGTGGGTGGGCTGCCTTAGGGCTAAAAGCAGCAAAGCCCTGCTCGTTCAGATGTAATGCTGCATTTCCCTGCACTACCATGGCTACTCTGCTGGTGGATCTGCCTGTGCATCTGCAGTGCAGGCATGCTCTTTGCAATTGAAGATAACAGTACATACGTGTAAACTCACCTTTGCCTTTCTCAGGGTACTTTGGTGCTACTGCGGTGCCATAACCTTCTAGACTCGTGAGATCAGCTTTTCTCTCCTCCATTTTTTTGGTGTTTCTGATGTGGTTCCGTGAAGGACTGTTTATTGGAAGAAAGTTAAGACAATTAATTGATCTGCAGCAAATTTGGGTCTAAACAGGGGTGATGACCTTTGGTTGTGGGCTGCCTTTTATGTACAGGTATATGGGCTGAAAAACATTTCTTAGCTACTTCCCAGATCATACCTTCCAGGACTGAAGAAGTCGTTGGTGACTATGCATGGAAAGACAATGAGCACGTACAAAGGAGAAAGACTCCCCTAACTGACTGCAACCACACGTACTATGGCAGTGGGAGCTACTGAAAAGACAGCTCAGGACAACTTCTACTCACTCTCAGCTACAGGCACACATTCTGTGCTGACAGATTTCTCCTGAATGTACTAAGAAAAAAAAGAAAAAAAAAAAGGAATAAACTCTGCCCCTTAGAAGCTCTTAACACAGGAAAAGATGAAGGATGAACAAAGAATATAGGCTGGATCTTGCAGTTGGATTCCCATCACAACTCCGATTGGGAATGGAATGGAGAAAGACATCCCACAAATACTATACATCTGGGAAATTCTCCCCGAGTGATACGCAGATGCATAAAACATGCAGGGCAGAGAGCTACTGATACATATTTGAGAGTACACCATATGGGAATGACTGAAAACATGAGCACATGGGCTTAGGGGTATATACACATATCATGAAAAAAAGAGTGAGTAGCAGAGGATTAAAAAGAGGTGTCTGAGAAGGGCAGAACAGCAGGTGGGAGTAGAAAAATATACAGGCTGGTAGGGTGAAGGATAAAAAAACAGGAAAAGAAGAAAAGCTTGACTCAGAAGTTGGGACACTGGAGGAATCAATAAATCAATTAAAAAAAAAACAACAAAAAAACAAAAAAGGAAATTGGAGAAGAACAAGGGACAGAGAAAAGATAATGCCCTGAAGAAGACAAAAAGGAAGATAACATGACATTGGAAAAGGAAGCAAAAAATAATCCAGGTGAAGGAAAAGAACAGAGAAGGAAGGAAAAGGCCGCTGCTCCACATAACTCTCTTATCTGGAGTGTAAAGTACATAATTAGCTGTTCAACAAACAGACCCATAATACCACCAGGATTTTGGCTGGTGCAGAAAATGACTTTTCTGTGTTGCTCTCTATCAGCTGGCAAAGCCCATGTCACTGCTGCTCAGTTTAACAGTTCTGGAGATGTATAAACCCCAAGCTTTACAGCTTTATAGTAGGAAGAGACCTAAAAACCCCCTAAAAGATAAGGACCGGTATTAAGGGATAGGAGTAATGAAGAACTGCAAACTAGATGTATTAGTATTTTTACAAGACAAGCAGGCTAATTTGACAATATACTTACTTACCTTGTACAAGATGATGCTGGTAGAGGTAAACTCTGTGTTTGTTCTAGTGTCCTGTGCTGACTAGCTTCTGTAATGGAGGAAACAAAAAGAACTATTAACATCGATTTGTGTTTTGAGCTTTTCATTTCTACAGTCCTACACAGTGAAGATATACAGGGCAGGTTTTGAAGTTCAAAGAGATTAAAACCCATATATACATATATATATATACATATATCTCCAAAATATTTTACCTCTGCATGCCTGCAGTTGACTTGTCAGCACTTTTCTTATTTCATTTACCCAAGTAGCTTTAACTTCAGGGGTTGGTGCCTACCCGAAAATAAATACAATCAGCCATAAAGCATAGAATACTTATTTCACACAGAGTGGTGTGCCAAAGCACAGCTTTGGAGGAATCCTTCAAAAGGGACAGACAGAGCTCCCTCTCTAGTCCTTCAGCGAACAGAAACTAGTTGTGACAACTGGAACACGCCGAGGTAGAGGCTGTGCACGTGCTACAGTCAAACCCCGGCTCCCAAGCCATCCACTACTCCAGTGAGAGCAATAGTAATGGTGTATACAATATCCTCCATGGATATTGTAAAATGTGATTATTTTTTCCCCCAAAAGACTCTGCAATTGAAATATATTAAGAAACTACCTTATGAATTAATCTGGTGGTGGTTTGGGTTCCCCTCCGCTCCCGTTTTTTTTTTACATTTCCTCATTACTGTCTATTAGTGATTTAACACAGGAAGAAAACTCCAGATCTTCTTAGGGTTAGACTCCCCCCTGCCCTGTCTTTTCGCTCTCCTTTTTATTTTTCTTAATGTAGTGGCATGTTATTTACCTGTATAATGTAAACTTCTTCCCTTGCATTATACCAGATTTCAAATTTTTTTGCATCACCTTTGACATTTTCTGTTATTCCAACTGCTGCCATCTGGAAGCAAAGAGAACAGAAGCTGACCTACCACATTGCAATTACGGTAACAACAGAAACAGGCAGCTACTGGTATTCTTTGATACCCTATTTCTGAAAAGGAAAATCGCATCTTGCTTCTTGCTGAAGGAAAAGAATAGCCAATAACATATGATCTGCATGTTGGACATCAGGGATTTAGTGCTTTGTATCAGCTTGGCTACCTTGGAGGGAAGAAAGGTTTCCGTACATTAAATTGAGGCTGACCCACGAGATGTCTCTTAAAATCCAGACCACCAAATCTTACATCTATTTTACACTACCCTGCTCTACATTTTCTTTGTGGTTAATATAACTGACACTCAGCTAGACTAGTATGGTTTGGATTTTCTCAAAGGGTGATCTCCTGCCCACCATCTCTCTAACAGACAGCAACACAAAGTAACACAGACCTGCAGCACCAGTTAGGTTTGCCTGAAAGAGCAAAGTTCCCAGTGCCAAACCGTAACACAGCTTCACAGACAAAACACTAGAATGTTGTATTACTGCAGGCTAAGCCCTCAGTACCTCGACCTTGCTGGACTGCTCGGTGTCTTACATTTAAGGAGTGTTTGTAGCTATAAGAAGGCGCTTTCTCGTATCCCTCTCCATTTTCTTCTCGCTTTTTACAGAACAGCACTGCTTTCTCGTGGAGGAAGAGGTGTCGCTGCATTGGCTTGAAGCGTGCCAAATCCTTCACCTTCGAGTGACCCTTTTTATGATCAGTCCAGACATTGAAGGATCCCTGCATTAAAAGCTTGCCCAGCTCATTCAGGTTTCCCTGGAACAAAAAAAAGCGATATGTATAACTACAGAGAGATAACATCAGACTAAAACACATACTCTGAACAGGTCTTCACAAGTTCTGTTGTTCCAAGTGATCTCTCACATCAGTGTTCATGTTGGGTTTTGAAACATAATAAAAATAAAGTCAGTGTTGGATTTTTACACATAGTTTTCTCTCCCAACGCTGTTCAGGCAGTATTTTACAGTCAAGAGTACCAGTAGCAGACGTACAGAGATCTACCCATAGAGAGAGGGGGAGGCACAATACACATACTTGGTTGCTTGGGGTTTTTTTCCCAAACTCTGCTCCAAAGCTGCTTATGTTGTGTTTCAGGGTTTTTTTTTTTTTTTGTTTGGTTTGTTTTTTTTTTAACTGGAAGTTTTGGGTGTAATTTTACACACAGATATAAAAACTTAGGAGCAACTCCCATTTGGCAAGTAGCCTAAACCTCTTTGTGATGATTTTCAGTTTCTAATTCAGTGTCAAGTAGATCAAAGAAAAAAAACTTGGGTAGATGGAGCAAAATATTATTCATAGCAGGAAAAACTTCAGAAGAGTATAGAGAGATCCATTTTCCATTATTTTCATTACACAATTCAGTATAAAGGCACCTTTTGTAAAACATTCTCCTCATTATTAGTACACAGTATAGGGTATGCTGTACATATATATAAGAAATAAATGAAAAGAAATTAAAAAGTAAGTAAAAATACTGTTACTCACATCATAGCCTGTAATGGCTATCTGGTGCATAGAATCATTAACGGCTTTGAGAATACCCAATATAGAAGTTAATGCCTCCTGAAGATCTTCAGCACCTTCACAGTTCTTACTGTACTTCAGCATTTCCTGAGCAGGCCGGGAATGACAACATACTTAGCTTTGGAAACAGTAGGGACTAGAAATGTTCAAATTTTAACACTGAATTTGGGCTATGTTTTTAAAGTTATCCAGTAAAGTTTTATACCATATAATCTAGTGGGTTAAATACTGGCTGGAATTCAGAAGACCCTGAAGTTTTACTTCTCCTCTCTGCTGCTAATTAGCCAAACGTATTTTGTTCATCTACAGGTTTTGTAAACTCTACCTAAGAATTTTACAAGACTAACTTTGCAAACATTTTTTTCATCACAATTGCTAACTCCCCCCCAACCCAAAACACCCACAACCCCAAAACAAACAAAAAAAGGATATTGTTTATATCTGTTACTTTTTAGAAGAGAACAAATGTAAAACCAGGCAAATTTCATTTATTATTTGAATTATGGTGAGGCCTGGGATGCTAGTAACAGACTTAAACTTACTGCACTGAGCATTGTCTACACATTTAAAAAGGCATTGCTTCTCCAAAGGGCTTATTGGTGAAGCTGCATCTTCCAATTTGATCCAGATAAACATAGCTGCAAGTTCACGTGGAATCCTCCCGACTTCACAGTATGAGAATAAGCATTTACTCATGGACTGCAGGCAGTAAAGATACTTTAAATCAAAAACCTTTCTAATACTCCTCTCTTTACACAACCTTAATGTAATTAATTCTTTAAAAGCTGTTAAATTCAGCTCAGTTTTAACTCAAGAGTAAATTTGGTCCGAGGCAATTTTTTTAAACTACTGTTAAATACAATTATTGAAACATGTCTATGTGGGAAATACTTCTTACTTCAAACATGGCAAAACCTTATACAATAATTTAAAAATTTATGATAGTATATAGCTCTCATTTTGCTCTCTCAGCATAGCATGTTTAAGTAAATCACAACAGCATCCTTCATAAAAACACCATACAGTGCTCTCAGTCAAGTACATTTCCTAGAACACAGCAACAAAAATTCCTGCAATATGGATGAGGCAACTGTAACTGAAGAGTAACAAGTACTTCAGATACTCTCTTTTCTTTGTTGCAAAGGTTTCTTGGTCCTTCTCCATTTCCCCTAATCAACTTTTCATTCTTCTCTTCAGCAGAAATATAAGGGCAAAAGTAGTTATGCAAGGTGTCTCTGTAACATTTGCCTGCCTACTAGCAGCTTTTTGTCTGGAAAAGAAGAGAACCGAGCTGGAAGTTGATAGACTGGAATTTGTCTCTGTTATGATTTATACATCTGTCTGGTAACTTTTAGGTTTCTCTCCAGCAGGCTGAGAGAAGCAGCATTTAAAAAACCAAATACACAAAACGTACTTAGCATTATAGTTTAGTAACACGTACCTTTAGCAGTAATTGGTATTTGGTTATTCTTTGAACGGGTTTCAGCAAGTATGAGTCCAAACTGAGCTTGTGATCGAGTTTCCTTTGACATTCCTGTAATCAGTGTTGGATTTCATCAGGACATTAATCAATATTTTTGTTATTTGTTCTTGAGATGATTAAATAAAGACAAAAACCCAAACCAACCAACCAAAAAAACCAAATCACAACAAAATGAAAACCACAATTATTTTAGAGATTTCAAGGCAGCATACCTGAAAGAATACAGAATCTGAAAACTGCCTCCACAAACTTTCAGATCGAGGTTTATTTTGACAGTATTTTTCATAAATCTGGAAATCTTCCATCTGAAATTGGTGAGAGAAACAAAAGGTTAATAAATTCTTGTGACTTTAATAGACAAAGCTCATATGAATTTTTTTCCATAATCAATAAGGCTACGAAAAATCAACAACAAAAAAATGCAATTCCTTGAGGTATCCCAAGCAAAAAAACAAATATTCAAGATCACTGATTTTATAATGGCTACTAATTTTGTACTTGGGACATCAGAATAAAATGTTCCTGTTAATTTTTGCTTCAGTTGAATGTTAGGTACCTTACGAAGCAGCACATATTATATTTACAAATATATTTCTATTACAATATGAAAAATACTTCTGTGAATGCCCAACCATGAGTCCCTCTGTGCAACTGTTTAAAAAGTCTTTGCCCTTTTTTCCTTATACATTTTCATTTTATGAATGTGTTTTTCACTGGAAGTTGCACCAAGGTAGACCAAGCGCTTTGTTGCCCCTTTCAACTTCAGCAACTAAATAGCATGAGTTCAGACTTGTTGAAAGCAAAGGGAAATAATACTGTTGAAAATGCCATAGCAACTATAGATATAAAGGAAAGACTAGGTAGAAAATCAGCAGGCACAAAAGTACCTCTCTCGGTCCTTCAGTTTTAGGAAACGGCATCTCCATGGATGTAGCCAGTAAACAGAAAGGGGAGGGAGGGCTCCTCCCAGGACTTCAGAGCATCAATAGGTAGTAACAACAGGAGACTGATTTCCATAAACAGATTCTTATTTAGCCTTTAGTACACTACAGGTGAGACTCGCTGTTTAATAAATCCCAATTTAAAAAGTTTAATTCTGTCATAGCTTTCTATGTTGAGAATAAAAATATTTTTTTGGAACTTACTCTGTTGAGGTGTACTCTTTAAAGAGAACAGAAAAGAAAACAACAACAACAAAATCCAGTAAAGAAATCTAACCAAGTAAAGCAATCCTTTATAGTGATGTGAAATGATGCAGTACATGACTCCTCTCATGTTTTCCTAACCGTCACTGTCATAAAGCAATTTTCTTTCAACAAGGTAGTAGCTCTTTCTAACACAATTAATTACCCCACACAGCAGAAAATATCCCCAACTCTCAATTAACATCTACATTCTCAACCTGTTACCTGTTCAAGACAAGCAAAGGGGATGTGGTGGCAATTACTACATGAAAAAATCACTCATATGTTACAGTCCTAGGGGGGCTTATGAACAAAATACCAGCAAAAGATGACACATACCTGATCCAGAAAGCACCGTCCTACTAGTTCTGGGAATTCTACGTAGTTTTCTAGTTCTCTCAAGAATATTCTATGAGGAAGAAGATTTTCTTAGAGCACATGTTAAAAAAGCTGCAGTAATTGTTCACATTCCTGCAATTTGTTTTCTTAACTTTTGGAAACAGAGTTGTAATTCTGTACTACAAAACTAAACAAAACTCTTCTAGATCATGTATTTAAAAAGGGATAGCAAATTAAACAAAACATTCTGACCAATTTGTTTTAGCATACTATTGCTACAACTGAAATCAAATATGATTGGGGAGGGAAGGGGGATTTTGTTTCCCTGCCTTATGTATTCAGCAGCAGGATTTGTACGGTTTGAAGTGTTTGGTTTTTCCTTCCAAATACTACCAAACACCACAAAGCAAACAAAGTGACCAAATCCGACCTCCCCAAACCAAAAAAGCCCACCCCAAAAGATCAGTGACAAAACTTCCAGTCTAGTTTTGCCTGAATAAGAAATAACTATTTAATGTACTTAACTTCTCTTGAAAATACTTCTCTCTTCTAACAATTTAAATATTATCCTGTGAAGAAATAGCTCTCTAGCAGCAAGGATTCAAACTTCAGAGAGAGGTCACTCAAGTATAAAATTAACCAGCCTCAATCAGATGTAAGAGTTGAGAATTTAATTTGTGGTTTAGAAAAATAATTTACTTTCCATAGCAAATTTCATAAAAAAATAAAAGAAACTCAAACCCAAACAAACCTTGCTTTAATTGGCTAGTAACCAGATCCCAGTACCTTTCTTCAGGAAGAGGACCACAATGCAAAATTTTGCCAGTGTACTGCAAACATTTGAATAAAGTTTCACACAGCTTTGCTCATCTTTTATAGATATTTTGCTTTTCCTCTACTATGTAATATGAACTTTCACGTGCCAGATAGCCAAGTGGGACTCAGTAAGGATCTTTTAGCAATTTAAATCAGATTAAAAGAAAGAGTAAAAGAATCCCATCCAAATGCTATTTTTAGATCTGAATGCAAATCCTCACCTGTTGTGAAAGTGATAAATTTCTTCCATATTCCCAAACAAGATATCCTTCTTATTTTGGAGTTCTGGTGAAATGAGATGAGCCATTAAGGGGTTGTCCATCTCTGCAGCATAACCCTGCAACACAGGAGAGAAGCGCACTGATTATCTCCCATTAATTGCAGTGTTTATCTCTCTCTGACAAGGCAGTCTGCCTGCAGCCTGACAGACAGCAAAGAGTGAGCTCAGTATTAATCATGAAAAAATATACAAATTCTGTTTTTCCATCAGTCCAGTAAAACACACCTATAGTCTTTAGAAAGACACTTCAATAATTACTGCAATTTTAGCTAAGCAAGGATAAAACAAAGTTTGCAATCATTTACACCAAGCAAAGGCTATGCATTCCCATACTGCTTACAAATTATAGCTCATACTTCTTCTGTTAAGACTTTACACATCTGAGTTTAAAGCCACAATTCCAGTATGCACGCAAACCTTCATGCCAGTCTTAGCTATTAGTACGAAGGAACAAGCTGACCGTAGTTATTTCTGCAGGTAACAGAAACCATTAAGCTGCAAGTTCTATCTTTAAGACATTTTCATTAGCTTTGGTACCAGAGTCATAACTTTACATTCTGACATCTTCCATTTGTCATATAAGGCCACATCCTCTTTATCTGGCACAAATAAGGAAAAGAGAACACGCAGGTGGCTTTAGCCCAGGACCGTTCTCCTCTGGTCCTGAGATCACTAATCTGCGGTCTCTCAAAACACTAAAAAACCCCCAAACAACCTCCCCAAAACCCCAAACCCAAACAAAAACACCCCCAACCAATCAATCAGAAAAACTGCAGGAATACTCTAGTACCTGTATTGTAAGCAGACTTCTTAATGTAAGTAGATTTTTTAGTGTACAGGCACTGAAGGAAGATGATGAGACCTACTTTAGATTTGGATTAAATTTCTTGCTCTCCTCTTTTTTTTTTTTTATAAACACAATTACCATGGACAAGGTTATCGCTGCATTAGTGACACTGATTATAATAAACTGCACTGAATTACAACAAACTGGCAAATTAAATTAAAAGATAAGCAAAAGTGCACCTACAAGTGAGATTTTCAATTTCAAAGTGATGTCCAAACTACAAAAAGTAGGAGAACTAGCTGATAAAGTCAGCTAGCCTGAAGAATTCAAGCATTTGAATAGGACAGCAATTAGGTGTTGTGGGTTTGGTTTTTTTTTTTTAATCAGTAACATTCCTTTAAAAATCTGGGTATTTTTTCCTCAAACACCACAAAAAAGAAAAAACAATGGTATAGGCAAAGATGCTGTAGCTCATAGATAGCTAACCACTGATCCAACTCTCATATCTCTCCCACAAATAGGAAAAATGCAGAGTCTGAAAGAGAGGGGGAAAGAAAAAAAAAAAGCGGTACAGCCTTAAAAAAGAAAAATAATTTACGTAAAATGGAGTTAAAATAAATTAACAGGGAAAGAACTGCAGCCACCATGCAGTTTAGATGCTGTGAAGAGATGCATGAAGAGAACAACTCATTTCCACTTGAAGTGAAGATGTTGCTGAACATATCAGCAAAGCAGCATTGGCATAAAGAAGGGGTATCTAACCCACCTGAAGTGAAAACAAACCTGACAGAGCTCAGTGCTTTGGATTCTGAAAGAACAAAAGCATGAAATCCATACATTGACAAAACACTTTTGACAATTTTTTTTCACTTCAGGCTGACGTAATACTTATTTTAAAAATTTAATATAAAAAAAAACCCTTCATGTTTTACTACCTATGCAGTACTTGTGTTTTAAGAAAGGAGAGGGAAAGCTACTCCATGCAGCCACAGGGATCATTTAATCTTACTTTGAGAATATATAAGGCTTTGCTTAGTCTTCCATTTGAAAGCTGTTCTAAAAGCATCAAAGTAAACGGAAAAAGGAGGCGAATACAATACCTAAAAAGAGACTAGACCAATATTTTTCCCCAATAAAAACTACTAGATTTCACAGACTAAAGTGGGATGACCATGGTTATCAATGAAAGGAAAACTATCAAGCTCAGATAAAAGCAGCTGTAGCAGTTTCCCAATAATCAATGTTGGGAACTACCTTGTTTTTTTCTGTTGGAATCCTTGGCAGAGAGCAAATGCATGGCAATTAAATATGGCATAATAATAGGAGACACTGTCCATACAGAGGAGTATCAGGTTATTTTACAGGAAAAATGGGAAGATTAATAGAACAGGAGAAACAAAGGAATCAGGAGAATAGCCAGAACTATGGATTAATAACTAGAATTAGTCAAAAGCTGGAAGACTGCCACTGAACCATACCTCAGCAAGGATCTGATCCAGAATTACTGTTGGCAGTCCCAATCACCCAAGTTCAAGAGAGATGAATCCCAAACCGCCAGGAGGCAGAGAATTGTACCTGGCATGGTCAGAGTACTGGAGAGTCTATCACATTGGCAGAAAACCAAGACAGCTTGGCCTAGCAGGACAAGGGTTGCACTATACTCTATGCAAAACAAGAGTAATACCAGAGGAATAGAAAGATTCTGCAACAACCCTCCAAGCAGCAGCAGTAAGGACCAAAAACCCTCCACCTATTCGAGTCTTGATTTTATGAAGAGAACAAAAGCAGAGAAAAACATGGTCCTTAGGTCCACTCCAGACCTACCTTGCTTTATTACCACACATCAGATGCGACTATCCTACTATCATCAACACTTCCTAGCACTTGGACTGGACCCAGGACTTAAATGCTATGGGAAGCTGAGCACAAACTAGGCAAAAGCAAGACCAGAGTTCAAAACCCTCATACAGTACTCTTACTTGAAAGTATGTACTCAGAAATTATCACTCCCAGTCCATAACTTAAGACAGATCCTTTTCAGGAGCTTAACATTGGAATGGACACCAAGAGTACCCACTTGGCTCAATTCCATTTAATCCTGATTAAAATAATTCAACCTCAGTTACCTGCAACTTCTTCATCTCCTACAGTCAAATTGAACTACAACAAAATGACTTGCCCATGTCTGAAGACTTAACAAACTTGAGGAACACCACAGAATACAGCAACGTATTTCTACAAGCAACTCAGCAGGACTGCCTCCACAAGCATGGAGCAAAGGGAACACCTTTGTTTCCTTTACAATTTCAAATGAAGATATTATTATTACAAGGCACCCTGTTCCCACAGTTGTACCCAAGACATTTGGAAGATCACTTAAAGATATGCAAAGAGGGACACAAGAAACAAATTCTCTCCTCTGACACAAGATTCCTTCGACACAGATTCACATTCCTGTGTGACACAGGACCTTCCTGGAATTGACACAAGACTCTGGAATGAACTTTTGCAGGAATTAATGATCATTACAAATCTCACTATGTTCTACCTAAATAGTTAGGCATATCTTATTTTCTGCCCGATTTGTGTTTTCTAATACCAAATCCTAGTTGCATGAATATTTCTAGAAAAAAATTGCACATTCCCACATCTGTGAAAATACGATGAGATAGGAGAGATGTAATGATCACACTGCTTGACAAGACAAGCAGAGGCATTACAATGATAAGGAAAGCATAACAGCATCCCTGAAATGGAAGAGGTAAATAGATTTAGTAACAGCCGCAGTGAAATTTAATCTTTACCTCAAGAACACACAGAAGTTCTTCCACATATGCTCGTTCAGTCTCAATAAGTTCATTCATTACATGCCTGTAGACAAAGAATGACAATTAAGGCACGTCTATTCACTTATGCAAAGTAATGAGGCAACATTAACTTTGTCTGTGTTTCTACTTTACTTCAGACAATAAGAGAACAATTTCCAGGTAATGGAAAACATGATGTTTCATAGATATTTCTGTCAACAGTTTATATATCCTTATTGAGAAGCACGTATTTTTAAAACATTTTAAAATTTTTGAAAATGTGTTTAAACAGCAGAAAAGTAAAATCTGGCATTTTAAGTGCTGTAGTAAATGAATTGAAGCAGTGAAGCATTTTATCATTGTACATACAAGATCTGTTTATGCTGTGTTTACAAGTATTACAGGAGCTGGAGTTAGAGCTGCATAGGATTATCAAATACAGTCTTAAAGTTACACCAGCCATTTTAAATTAGAGGCATTTAGGACACACTTTAGATATCATGATGCTGCTTTAAGTTTGATTTCCCTAATGGTCAAGCAAGCATGCTTCCCTCCAGCCCCCTCCCCTTGTCATTTTGTACGATTTAACATGTGGTTGTAACAGTGAAAAGACAGAAGTATCCAGTTTACAGGTAGAAATGCAAGCTCTGCTATACACACTGCAGGTGGTAATAAGTTATTTTTTGAATGTAAGTGGTGCTGTTTAGTTTTTATACAAGAAAGGTTTTTTTGTAAGATTTATCAAAACAGGGACTAAAAGGAGTGAAATAAAAAGACAAAGTCTTCTGAAGCACGGAGACCAAAACCTCCGATAGATTTATAGGAGGCTTATTATGCAAAACTGTCATCTCTGAAATGAAAATATGTAGTTATCCTGCCATAGCATCACCTTGCTGCAGCAAAGCTGAGGTCTGGTACTACATAAGCTATAAATAATGATGCAGACAGACTGAGATGTCTTCCTCTGTGTACAGAGCATATTCAATGCATTTCAAAAAGCACTGAGGCTTAATTCAGAGAAGCATACTTGTCTTATCAAATCCTTGGCCGAACTCAGCCTTTGCTGGAACCAAGTCAGAGAAAAAGCATTTTTTGTTTATCAAAATATACTTACTGCCGTAACACAGCTAGGTTTTCTTCATCATCCATTGTAGATCCTCCTCTGCTTTGATGGAGTTCAGTCATTTCACTCTAAAGAAGAAAACAAACAAAAAACAACAACAACAACAAATCATCACAGCATCACAGATGGGGGAAAACACTTTAAAATACAGAGCTTTGCACCCAGCTCTACTTGCATGCGTTTCCACAGGAAAGACTGTACTCCATTAAAAATGAAGGCAATTTGCAAGAATGCTGCAAAAAAATCCAAGTCAACCTGAAGGTCTTGAAGCACACAAGAACATTTAGACACAGGGAGTTTTCCATGAAAGGCCAGCTTAGAAAAGACCGTGGTTCGAGGCCCCTTTCCAGGAACACAACATCAGAGCATCAGCATAATCTTGGAGGCAACACTGGCCTTAGTCTGTTTTTCAAGCTAAAAATGAGGTACTGTACTAACTTTCTGGTAACTTCCTAACTTGACACAGAAGTTCACTCTTAGAACTTCTACTGTAATGGTTGACCTAATTACAGCTTGCTGAAAAAAGTGAGAGGTTCTGCTTTCAGTCCCCCCTTGAACTAACCCTTTGCTCCAACTGTTGTCCCTACTTGTCATGTGGTCCTGCCTTCCTCCTCGCATTGTCTTTTGCTGGACCTTGGCTGAGTTGATTCAACTCTCTAACCCAGTGGGAAACTACTTGTTTCTGTTGCTGCTGTCAGGTTACTTTCCTTGCCGGAGGCAGGGCAGGAAGACCATCCCCACTTGGGAATGGCAACCCATTAGGTCAGGTGAAGCTGTCTTGGAGCCAACGACAACTACCTCTTCACTTTCACCAGTTTTAAGAGTAGCCAATTACTACTGGCAAATAATAAATGCTTCCTGTTCATAGATTTTATATTTTGCTGCCCCTAACATTTTTCCTAATATAGGCAACTATTTACTTTACCTTCCCTTATACCCAGCCCAGCCACAAAGCAGCCTCTATTTAAACCAGATGACTGCTTCACCAGAATTACTTTGATAGGGGCAATACCATCACTTTTTCAGTGGAATTGCCTCATCCTTCTTGAGGTTCCTGAATATTCTGTTGTATTATGACTTTCTCAAGCAGTACGTGCATGAAAAGCGCAAAGAAAAAAAAAACTACCTTTCCTCTTCTGCAGTTTACTCTCCGAAGCGCACTGCTTTCCGAGTTGGATATGTATTCTCTTTGAAGACCTAAGCATGTAAACCAGAATCAAACAGCAGTTAGAACTTGAGCAGATCTGACACAGATGTTTGTGCAACCACAAATTACAGCTGAAAGTTTCTTTAAGTTTCTCAGCATAGCACAAAAAATTAGTTACAGGCTACTACAGTTACTTACCTGGAGAGGTACAAGGAGATTTTACAAAGGCTTCAGGTCTTGGTGCAACTGGCTGAACAGGACGTGTCTGCTTAGCTGCCAGTTTCTTAAGACTTACTTGTCTCTTTTGAAACATTTCTTCCATACTTTCTTGCTTCTGAAAAACCTTTTGCACATGCTCCTACCGTTGCCACAGAAATAAAAATCCTTGTCAGAGACCTATCAACAAGCTACACTGCCATTTACAGCACATTGATCTGAAATTGCGATTGTTTTTAGACCATGTATAAAAATATTACCCTACTCTTCACTCCTAACAAGGCATAATTTACAGTCAACTTAAAAATTGGAACATTACTTTATAAAACATTTTGTGTGCTTGCTGTAGAGAAACCAATGGGGTTCAGGTTTCAATTTAAAAAAAAAAAAAGTAGGGAAAAGTTTTTTGACAGTGTCTCATGGTTCTGTTACATGAAGAGATCAACCAAGAGGAAAAGGAACATATTCTCAAGTACTAAAAAAAAGCAGTTACAAAGCAGAAGTCATACAAATATCAAGGACAGGCACATTCTTGCTACATAAAAAAGATATTTCCAATACTCACTTGGGAGAATTTTTTTTTAAAAGCAATCCTACTATCTGACAAATTGAAGTAGTTATTAAAAGGCTCTGAAGCCCCTGATGCTTATCCAAAGATATGACAGGACTAGCACCTCAGGTAGAGAAATGTGTTGGCTTTCCAGTTCCCCAGTATAACTCCTAGTACCAATTATTTAGCTTTATCAATGGCCATGCAAGAGAGCAATTCTAAAATTAACAAATGAACTCATAGATACACATAAATGTCTTCTGATACCTTTAGGTCCTCATTGAGGATGTGTGCATACTCTCTGTAAATTTTATTCAACTCCTTGATTTTATTGCCTGCACCAGTGTCCAGGAATTTCTCGATCTCCTGTAATGCTGATTCTGCACCATCCTGAGACTGACACTTATCTACCGGCTGCGAAGCCAGCAAATAAATTCCTTCATCGCACCACTTCAGAGCCTAGAAACAGAGAGAAGAACAGGCTCAGAATGCAGCGATATCAGCATCAAACACTAAGAGGTCTAAACCATTTCATACTTCTACTTGTCATGTATTTAGCTATTTAAGGAGAAAACTTCCAGCACACCCAGATATTTTTACCTGCTGTTATGACAACTGCTTGACTGAGGTTTTAGCAAACAAGATGGGAAACAGAACTGTTCCATACAAAATTTACCTTTTCTAGTAAGCCATGCAGTTCTAGAGATTTGTTAAGAAGATTCCTCCTCCGTTCTGTCTCAGTAGTGAAGGCATCACAGAGATGATGAAGTTCACTGCATTTTGGAATAATGGAATCCACAGCATAATGATTGCTTTGAATAAAAGCATCACCCTCTGAGGCTAGCATTCTGGCTTTTGCTACAGTTTCCTAAGAAAGCAAGCATTGATTTAGGTACATCTTTCCTTGGGTCAACATCAGTGAAAAAAATTAAAAATTATACCATTTGTTTTTATGCAGTAAAATACACATGTTGATAAAGAATACATCTTTAGTTAACGGGTGCCTTGCTTAATAAATCGAAGTGATTTCTTGTCTTCCCAGATGCCCAAGAACTTTTAATGCCCCCTTCTTTACTGTATCAGAGTACTTCAGAAACATTAATGAGTTTAATCATATGCCTCCCTGTGAAGGAACGACTGTTGTCTTTCTGTGCCTTAGTTAGTCAGCAGCATGTTTGTATGCGTACGTATGCAATTTGGAGTACAGCAGCAATAAGAACCCAAATTAAAAAATACCTAACACCGGCACCTCAGCCTCAAGAGCAATGACCTTATTTATAGAGCTATCTATTTTATTGTGAAGTACAGATTATAATAAGGTTCCCTTTCTACATTGTTCAGTGTATGTTTCTGTTGGTCATCTTTTAACATATTGTACATTCAATACACAGCTTTCTCATTTCTGAGATTTAATGAAATAAGTAGCTTTAATGGGAATGGAAGTGGCCCCTTGATCACTAAGTGCAGAACTTGGCTATGCAGACACTTCATGCTATTCTTCCATGAACTGATCACACCGACTTTGTGACTGGTCACTCTGCTCTTTATTGAGGGATGCCCAAGAACTGGGCTGCTCCAATGGTTAAAGACTTCATTCCAAATTCTTTCTGCATGTTACTTGAGACACTGATTTAGCTCAAGCTCTGCTCATAAGACAGACTCAATAACCAAATACCGTTCCCTTCCACACATGCATCATCATACTAGAAATTAAGGAAACTTGCAGAGTCCTTACACGTGATTTTTCTTCAAAGTTGGCAAGATCTTTCAAAATATGCTCCACATGTGAACAGCTGTTTCCTACATCTGTGAAAGTAGACAGTCTCTCAGACACAATATCCAAAGCTGCTTTGACCTGAAATGAGACACAGCTATGTATCAATAAAGATGATTCCACCTCTCTGGAGACCCATCAGTTAAATAGCTATTTCCAGTCAGGTGACTCACATTATGGGGTTACTGGAGCACAGAGACAAATCACTTTTTTTTTGTCAGCCTACCTTTACCCCCAATGCAAAATGAAAACAAACACAAAGAAAAGGCAGTGAAGTAATCCTGTTTCCTGGTACTGCAAAAAGAAAAAAAAAAGAAAAAAAGAAAAAAAAAGAAAGGAAAACTAATGCTCAGGAAACATTTATGATCTTGCTTTTACCAGATGACAATAATACAAAGCAACATACAAACAGAAAAATGTGAGGGAGAGGTCCTCACGCTAACAATTGATTGAGCCACATACAGACAGACACACACTTGTCAGTGGGTTTCTGAGCATTGCTCCCATAGAGACACAGAAGCCATGCTCTGAGAGCAGCTACACCAGCGTAAAGAGACTGTAGGTGCCATCAAGCATATGAGTTAAACTAACATGAGATCAGAAACTGGCTGTAAAAATTGTAGTTCAGCCTCCACCCAGCTTCTAACACTGTGGTTGCAACTTCCCACCCACAGTGTTGGAGAGTGTTTTATAATATTTCAGCCAGAAGGTTTAGGTAAGTCTTGGTTCCATAAAAGGGCCTATTGGCAAGATGAAAGCGTTGCAGCCAGCATATTATGCTTCTGTGGTGGTGAACAGGTTTCAAAGGAGTTTTTGAATGCTTCTACGCTGCTGGGTCCATGGAAAAAAAATCATAAGACTGCAGAAGAGAAGCTATTATGTCTCTATAGGCAAGTATTCAAGGTAGTAAAGATAGCAGTATGTCAAGTAAGGACATGTACAAGAAAAAGGTTGGAGAAAGCTTTCAAGCACACACAAGAGCTGCAAAAGCAAGAGGGGGGAAATATTTTCTTCTGAATAATTTCTATATTACCAAATATTGACTGCCACCAAGAAGTTCTCACCTCTCTGAAATTCTGTTCAAAATTCCGAAGGCGCAGACATTGCTCAAGTTTTTGCTGATGCTTAATCCAAAACTCATCAAAAGCAGTCTCTGTTTCATGTAATTGAGCCAGAAGCCTTTTCAAAAAACCAGAAATACTGTAAGAATGATGGGTGCAACCTTCAAGGGACAATACAATCTTCCACAGTAAACAAAAAGCCTCCCCAAAGCAATACTTTCCAGAAAAAATAAACTGGATACAGGAAAGTTTTTTGAGTATTGCACAGAATTATTTCCTAGAATAACACTGATGTAAAACTGAAACCCAACACAAACATTAAGTTCTGAAAAACTGGCAAGTGCTGATTTGAAGCTAGCTGCTGCATATACTACTTCTCAGCTCTGGCCTGGGGACATGGGGACAGCAAACATAAACAAAACATGCAAATGTGTGTGGGCTAGGACCCAGAGGAACCCAAGCCTTGGGCTACAAGGGAAAATGAAGGCAAAATTTGTACTGCTGTGACCAGCCAGCTGCCCTTACATTTCATTCCTTGGAGCAAGGCTCATAATAAACCTGAAGGTCATTGCTGCCCCTTTTCTGAGCAGAGTTACTACTTAAATGTCACAGGCAAGTGTACAGCAGTGCTATGATGAAAAGAGCCTTCTTCAATTTTAATTTTGGCTAATGCCTTAAAACTTTTACTTTTCAACTTATCTTCCAATATTGCATTTGACAGTATGGTATCCCATGGACTTATTACAGGGCGCTTTGCTGTACTTAGGCTACATCCAGGGAATTTTAATGAACTTTTGGCTTCAATAGGACAGAAACGAACCCTGAATTTACAAGTTAAAACTGATTAGAAAAAAGGCGGACACACACACAGAGTTTGTTCCAACTTCCCTCAGATACTGTATCAAGTGGGAATGTTTTGGATAAATTAGCAACCCCCACCCCGATTGTCCTTCGGATAGCTGATAGCAACAACGACCAAAAAAAGTGACTTCTGCCAAGCTTTGTGGATTGGAACGGACAGCTATTTGGAAAGAAAAGTCAGCCCGAGTGTCACAGAAACACAGAATGACAGACAAAAAAAGAATGCAGAATACTGCCTGGGGGAAATGAGCTATGCTTTCATAGCTTTGTGCAGATTTACATCTGTGCTATGGTGATATAACGTCTTCAAACCTCGCAGTAATTTAAGGGGGGGTGGTGGGTGGGGAGCAATGGAAAACAACATCTATTACTTATATGCCCAAAGGAAGCATATAGGAAGTTTCTGCATGTTTCAAGTTTCAACAGCAGTGTACTCCCTAGTAGTCCTTTAAAGGCCACTAATGACATTGATAAGATATCAGCAATGTTAGAAGCTCCTTTGGGCAGGTTTAAAGAAAAAGAAACCTCCCACTTCAATTCAAAAGGACTTAATGAAAGTGGACAAATCTACTGAAAAGATGGGATATATCACTCCTGTGTTCCCCTCCTGCTTTCGCTACAGCAGCAAAATTTCCCTGGATTGTACTGCAGTCTCTAAACAAAGCATCAATATTCTTTAAAATAAGGAAAAGCTGCTCAAGTACATAGTCCAAATCTGAAAAAAGGACAAAAAGAACAGTGTTACTTTGTTAGCACTGGAACTCAAACCCCATCCCCTATTTCCTTATAGCCAGGTGACCCAGTAATGGACATTGAGGGGTTTATTTTGCTCAGGACAGTTCTGACAACAGAGGAGTTGTTTCTGAAAGTATGTTTTATATGTTCACATTGTTAACATTTGCTTATTTGCTAAGCATGCATATGGAACTAAGTAAAATTGCTGGGGAGGGATCAAAAAACCCAGAAAAGCATCATGTTCAGTATTTCGCTCCTCTCACCTTTCTACCGTTGTTTGATTGTCTAGCTGATCTTGATTCAGTTTGTATTCAGGATTCTCAGTAACTGGTTTTGTAATACTTTCACGGATATCACCTCCCTGTTTTACTGCTAACCTGATATCCTCCTACAAAACAAAACAAAAACCCACACACACTGTAGTTGTGCATTGTTGATTGTGTTTTTCTTTTTTTTAAGCAGACTTCATAAGGCACCAAACTGGAAAAAGGATTTTGTTTTAGTAGCAATAGAGCAAGGACAGTTTGATTAAAAGCAGCATTTGACAACAAATAAAGACAGTAAACGCTAAATGTCAGCTTTCTCTCCATTTACCTTCTTAAGATCCCAGTGTAAACAGGTTGAATTTTCATGATAGATAGCCTTCTATCTAAGTCCTTAGGCTACAAACATCCCAAAAATTTTAGATGTACAGTTTTAAAACCCCCAAATAGTTTTCATTTAAGCTGATTTGAAAGAAGATTTATCCATTCTTCAAAAGGTCATATATTTTCATATGCATGCAAAGACAGTCAAATTACTTGTTGCAAAGAAACCTAGAAATTAAACACACCACTACTTACAAAGGAATTTCTGTTTCCACATACAAATCATTATGCATTTGTACATACGTAAACTTACCCTCAAGAAATGTCATTTTTGAATGCAAAAAAGGATTTTTAACATCAAACCAAGCAAAATAAGACTTCAATGTTTCACATTGTTACTATTAACATCCTCCAGATTTTCTATTAGCATTAGTAGCTATAAATTACAACATAGTTTAACTAGAAGACAGCATCTTTACAAAAATTACATACCTTCATTTTGTCCTTCTTTTCTGTGTGTGTTGCAAGAAGGGAGCTGGTTGACTGCACATCATTCGGTAGTTCTGTTTCAGCCAGCTCAGTCCCAAAGGACTGAAGAATCTGAGCTGTTTGCTTAACCTTTTGGGCGAAACCTTCTATAGCCTTTTGGAATAAAAACCATTAAAGATGTTTCATGCTCATCACATGCATATGTACAAACAGACACATACACACAAAATATAACTCTCAAAACAAACCCCAGCAGATGAATTACAAGACTGAAAAATGGTCAAAGTATAATTCTGCAAGCAACAGATACCGTCACCATTAATTCCTTAATTGTATATTTTTCCTAGGCTCAAATCAGGTGTATCTTCCTCATATTTTTATAATCTGGAGTAATTTTACAACTTGAGCTTTTTCTTTCTCGTAGCAAAACCAATAAACCTCAACACAATAATACACTGTAGTTCCTTTGCTCCAAGTGTTCAGAAAACCACTCCCAAATTATTACTCATATTATTTCTCTAAGATGACTAAGTACCATTGGGAACATCTTCTCACTCCGAGCAAGTCAACTTGCATCACTTGAAATCTGTTTTATAAATGACAGGGTATAAAACAGAAGTGTTCATTAAACTGGAAAGATAAAACAAAAACTAAGACTTACAGTGCGACGGGACAGCCATCTGTTATGGCAGTAATCCAGGGTGCCACCAAGATCTTCTGTTAATTGTGTTTTATCAATGTAACCCTGCAGTTCTGATACTGAGCCCAGCATTATGATCTGCAGCAGCAAAGAAAAAAGTGAATGTGATCAGTGGCGAGAAGTCCCTTGTTAAGGATTCTAAGCCCCATCCTTCAGCCTCTGATAGAAAAAGTTCAGTTTAATACAGAAGCAAGTCATGGAACTATTTCCTTTGGGTACAGAAAAACAAACTTAACAGTTGTTTCAGTTGAAGATGATATAAATAACTGCATATGAGCAGGAGCACCAGGCACAAAAAAAAAAAAAGCATACAGATTATACAACATAAATTACACCATCAGGTTTTTTTAACCTTGATAAACCATACATGGCTATTTTCTAAGAGCAACATTCATTTCTTGTTCATTTTCCCTTGTTATCCTGGGTCTGTGGGAGAGAATGATAGTATCTCCATGGATTTGGCATGTAAGGACTGGTTCCCCAAAATAAATGAGGGATGGGGGACAGGTATCTTAATTTAAAGACCATCCTTCACCCTGGAAATTTACATCTGATAAGTAAAATAACTTTTATATCTTTAGCTCATATAATTTCAAAGTTTATTTTACAATATAAATACTGTACATTTACAAACAAAAGTATAATCAGTGGGTTTACTGGTGATGTAACTACAGGCATCAGTTGTATGTTCGCTCAAATGATAGAAACTATAGTATTTGTCCATGGGAAATGCATTTGCCTCAAAATTCACGTACTGTTTCAAGAATAAGCCATCATGAATCAGCCAAAATTGCTGGAGCTGCCTTTAAGCATGGCTTTTTGTTGGGATTTTTTTGGTCCTCACTGGTTACATTAAGTACTTGAACAGATTCCTGATAGTAAAGTGAAAACAGAGGACTACTTACAGGTACTTTCATTTTAAACTCATCTTTGTTGAATTTGAAAGCAATGTCCGAGAGAGCTCGATGAAAAAATCCTGTTGGGCGCAGAACGAGGACTAGCTGCAGGTTTCCCGGGAAAGATGCCTGCAAAACAAGTTTAGTCTGTTATTTTCTGTGTCTCAGCTCCAGAAAAATATTTTTGAAGAAGGAGAAGCCCCTGAAAACCACAAACTAACCATATCAAAGGCCTTCCATCATGGGGTGACCAATTATAAACTTGCAAGGCTTGCACAAAGAGCTTCATTCAAAGAGACATTTACTCGTCTTTGGAAACAGGAATCTATTCTCCCGGAATCAAATTTTTCAGGGGTGGCTTGTACTGCTCTTCAGCCAAGATTACATCCTAGCCGAGGAGGCTAATGAAAAAACAATGGTGGCTTAGTACTTTTTTAACAGCAGTACTTTCACAGATACCTTATCTTCTCTTTAATAGAGGGTGCCAAGAGAAACCTCTGTTATTGTCTCAACACCTAACAACACATTTTAATTTGCGCATATACTACCTTGCCAGTTGCCTACACAAACTATTGCCACCGAGACTGAATTTCTCAGGCAGTAGCTTAGAAATAATCTTTAATTTTGCAGACAAAAATAAAAATCAAACATCATAACTCCCAGCTGTGTTTTTTTTCATCATCTTCCAACTAGTAGTCTGATGGATGTTTCCCAGTTCTACAAGTGATAGGGGGAAAACAGAAGAGGAGAAGGAAAGCAAAGAAATAGCATTAAATTACTAAAAATCAACCTCTGCTGTGGCAGAGGTTTGCATATTTGGCATTTAGCCATTCTTGAAATCATGCAAGCCTTCTCCCGTATTCAGTATTTCCACTGTAGGGAGACAGTGAAGCTCACTAAAGAAATGATCATTATAATGATTAAGTATGCAATTTTCTTCATTATACGGTTGGAAATTATGTCACTTTTGTAGCAAATTGAATTACTACCAACAAAAAAAAGCCAACCAAAAAAAACAAATACTGACTGAAGGAGCTGTTATTGCTATGCTCTGTTTCCATGCCTAGTGAAACTTAGTATCTGGAAGATTGGAGAGTGGTTTAATACTCATTTTGAGGTTTCCAAGGGTTCCAGGTATTTAGCATTGGAAATGACAAACTTTTAAAGAGAAAAGTACTTAAAAACTTTTCTGGAAGTCTTCACAGATTCATTGTGGTTCCCCAGATATTCAGTATACAACTGAGATCTCAATTTGATTGAGGAACCTTTAAGACTGGAGCTTCACAATCTGCCTCCACTTCAGTGATGTCCACACATTTTCTAGAAAGCACGGTGGTTCAGTCCCAAAGGAATCTGTCTGAGGGCTGGGAACAGAATCCAGGTAATTCTGAGTGCCCACACCAGCTCCTCATCCTTGCACTGTAAACAATCTGTCTCTGTGTAGTAGTACATCCTGCGGACTTACTAATGCACAGTTATCAGAGGAAAAACTTTTTATAGAAAATTCTTGACTGTATTCATAAGAAAAAGTGAAGAAAAGATGATTTTTTTTAACCATTTTTTCCTGAACTAGACAACCACAAATTTATTTAAGAAAACTATTTAACTCATACTAAGAAACATTGCAAGAATGGACAAAAGGATTTTTTTATTAAATCTCCTGAATAATCTATTTAGAATGATAGCCATGTTGTCTATTCATTTCACACACTCAATAGACACATGTCAATTTATTTTGTGCCGGCAGCATTCAGAGTCTGAGCTGTTAATTTTCACCTTCAACTTAAAAAATGTGAAGTTTATTCAATGGCAATGCCAACATTTCAGAAGAAAAAGCTGCAAGAAGAAATATCTTTTAGATAATACATTTAAAAAAAAAAAAACATAAGGGGTCTTCATGCGAGATATTTGCCCCACCACATGACATCCAGACATACTGTCTTTGGCAGTGCATGTTTGCCATCCATTTAGCCTTACCCAGAATACTGGGAAATGCCTATCCTCTTAGCTCCAAGTTGAGTAGATATATTAGAAATACACAATCGCATGAAAGCATATGAAGCGTAAAGACACCAAACAATAAAAGTAAATTTAAATTACATGTATGAGTAATAAATTTCTTCATTCTAACTTTAAATTCTCACTTTTACACTTTGTGACTGTATTCTAGATTTTTACTCCAGAATTTCATAGAAAATATGCTGAAAGGGACCTGGGGGTGCTGGTGGACAACAAGCTGGATATGAGTCCGCACCGCGCTGCTGTGACAACCAAGGCAAATGGGATCCTGGGCTGCATCCGCAGGGGCATAACTAGCAGAGATAGAGACGGGACCATCCCACTCTACTGAGCGCTTGTCCGGCCGCACCTGGAGTACCGTGTCCAGTTCTGGTCCCCACAGCTCAAGAAAGACGCAGACAGACTAGAGAGGGTCCAAAGGAGGACCAAAGACGACCAAAGGGCTGGAGAACCTGCTCAGTGAGGAAAGACTGAAGGAGTTAGGTCTCTTCTCCCTGGGGAAGAGAAGGCTCGGGGACACCTCAGCACAGTATTCCAGCTGCCACTTAAAGGGTGGCTGCAAAGAGGACAGAGATTCTCCCTTCACGAGTTGCCGTGTGGAGAGGACAACGGGCAACGGGTACAAGTCACACTGGGAAAGTTTTCATCTTGATAGAAGAAAGAAATTTTTTTACAGTGAGAACGATCATTCACTGGAACAACCTCCCCAGGGACGTGGTAGAGTCCCCATCACTGGAAGCTTTCAAGATGACATTCGACAGGGTGCTAGATAATCTCATTGAGGCTCCTTTTCCTCATGAAAGGTTGGGCCAGATGATCTTTCAAGGTTCCTCCCAACCCGAGTCATTATTCTGTGTTTCTATGATATTTAGGCTATTACTGAAGCAAACAGTAGCAGCCAAATGCAATGTAATAGTAAATTTTTCTGAACTGTGTATTAGCTCTTATGAAATACAGAGTTTAACTACATGACCAAATTAAGTAGGGTATCTCATTAGTTTTCAATTCAAAGAAAACAGACAGAGAATACACATTACAATTATTCTCCATCTCAGCATGTCTACCCAAACCAATGGCTGTTGAAGTCACTACAGTCTTGTATCACTTTAACTCCCATTCACGGCTTGCCAGAAGTTTCCCTCCTCTCTCAACAAAAGCTCAAATTACTCCAACTTTGTCTACAATACCATTCTGGCCTCGGCTAGTCTGTCTCCTATGCCTCCCGTTTGGTTTTATTTATATTCAAAGAAACCCAAGTCTTAAAAAATGATGCCTCCTCTGCTTGTTGTGGCCAGGAGTCAAATCTGCGAATTGATCTTTGTGAAACAACAGGAAAAGGGAGGATTGCTACAGTAAACAATGTTGGACCTGTGCCAGCTATTCCAGTTTATCTGAGCTTATATCTGCACTGCCCAAATATTACTATTTTCCTAACTTTTTTTTTTCCTAAAGCCCTGGTGACTTGCAGAGACAATGATATGATGCAAGAGACACTCCTTAGATGCGTGTGAACTTCATCAACCAGTCAACTTTACCCTGAACACGAGAGAACAACAACAAAAAAACTCCATTCCAGTCCAGCAGCATATTTGTTTGAAGCCATTGTATGTTAAGCAGACAGAGCAAACAATGACTTCTCAATAATGTGCCAAATGTTAAGCACAAAAATAAATATTCATGTATGTTTAGCAGTGCCATGAAATAAAGTGCCTTCAAGGACTGTTTCAGTGAAGTCAATGAACATCACTGAGACTTGAAGAAGGGTTTGTGTGCTTGGAAAACTGCTTTTTCAGAAGTGTCTTTCTTTACTAGATTAATATTAACTGCTCCTCCAACATCTAGTCTCAAATATTGCACTGTAACTCATTTAATACCTATGCAAAAGAGACCAGGGGTCATGTTTTTGGTATCCTCAACAAAAATTAGGGTAGATCCTATTCTATTCTAGCCCAACCCATATATTCCTTCCATCTCACTTGCATCAGTATTGGCACTTGTTTGATACTTCGTGACAGTCACGGGATTAGTTTTCTATCTGCTTATCTCCTTCACATCCCCATCCAGTCAGGTCAGTGCCAATTCCAGAGATACAGAAAGAGATGTAGATGTGCATGTAGTTATCAACTTTGAAATAAATCTGACCAAACCAGGGATTTATATACAGCACAGCCCTTAAATCAAAGCTTTCCCATACACAGAGATCTTTGCTGCCCTATGAATACCCTGAACACAGAACGTGGGAGGAACCTTCACTGGCTGGACAAAACAGGAGCTACCTTAAATCCTCCAGGAAAATAGTCAATAAATACTCAGGAGCAGGTTGACCTGCCCGCTTTCAGGCCTCCGCTTCTCAGGGATGGGAAGCTTTCCACTGCATGTTCCAGGCCTCTGGAAAGGGGGAACCTACAGAGACTGAACCCAGCTGGGTTTGGGCAAAATGTAAAATTAAGTTAGTTGCATATAATGTTAATTATCACTTTCCTTCACAGAATATTAATGAGAGAGAGGCTGTCTGTAGCACCAGTACTGACCCTGAAGTTAAGCAGCTGCTAACAGGGGGATATAAGGAGAGGCAGGCCATCTCACGAATGAAGATGACCCGATGCTGAATGGCCAGTAAGGAACCACAAAAGCTGAGCAGGAAACAACCCCTGTCTGATGCTCAGGAAGGGGCTGTAGCAGCTTGTGTGTGGGGAAGGAATGACAGCGTTTCCCCAAAGACAGGTACTGAGATTCTTCTTCTCTTCAGTTTCCGCTGTGTAACATGGTCTTGCTCTGTTGGTGCCAACAGGGAGCTATTTAAGTCACTCAACAATTTCACCTGCACTAGCCAGGCACAGCAACAATCCCACGCACTCCTGCCTGACAGTAACTGTACAGCGTACATGCACTATAGGCTATTGGGCAGATGGCATTTTCAAAGGGGAAATGGGTCTCGTTAAATGACATACTTTACAATAGCCACGATATTCACTGGGACAGGATGCAGTGCTGCCAGGCTGCGCTCCCTGGAAGAGGCAGCGCAGGAGCAGAGCAGTGGCTGGGGTCTACAACCAGGAGCCAGCCACTACAGCCTTTAGCAGCGAATACCCAAAGGTGAGCTTTTGGAA